GTCGTGAAGAACTGAACGATTCTGATTCAAACACACATGAACACTGAGTCGTGAAGAACTGAACGATTCTGATTCAAACACACATGAACACTGAGTCATAAAGAACAGAACGATTCCGATTCAAACACGCATGAACACTGAGTCATAAAGAACAGAACGATTCCGATTCAAACACGCATGAACACTGAGTCATAAAGAACAGAACGATTCCGATTCAAACACGCATGAACACTGAGTCGTGCAGAACTGAACGATTCCGATTCAAACGTGCGATTCTGATTCAAACACGCGTGAACACTGAGTCGTGAAGAACTAAACGATTCTGATTCAAACACGCGTGAACACTGAGTCGTGAAGAACTAAACGATTCTGATTCAAACGTGCGATTCTGATTCAAACACGCGTGAACACTGAGTCGTGAAGAACTGAACGATTCCGATTCAAACACACATGAACACTGAGTCGTGAAGAACTAAACGATTCTGACTCAAACATGCATGAACACTGAGTCGTGAAGAACTGAACGATTCCGATTCAAACACGCATGAACACTGAGTCGTGAAGAACTGAACGATTCCGATTCAAACACGCGTGAACACTGAGTCGTGAAGAACTAAACAATTCTGATTCAAACGTGCGATTCTGATTCAAACACGCATGAACACTGAGTCGTGAAGAACTAAACGATTCTGATTCAAACGTGCGATTCTGATTCAAACACGCGTGAATACTGAGTCGTGAAGAACTGAACGATTCCGATTCAAACACGCATGAACACTGAGTCGTGAAGAACTGAACGATTCTGACTCAAACATGCATGAACACTGAGTCGTGCAGAACTGAACGATTCTGACTCAAACATGCATGAACACTGAGTCGTGAAGAACTGAACGATTCCGATTCAAACACGCGTGAACACTGAGTCGTGAAGAACTAAACGATTCTGATTCAAACACGTGCGATTCTGATTCAAACACGCGTGAACACTGAGTCGTGAAGAACTAAACGATTCTGATTCAAACGTGCGATTCTGATTCAAACACGCGTGAACACTGAGTCGTGAAGAACTAAACGATTCTGATTCAAACGTGCGATTCTGATTCAAACACGCATGAACACTGAGTCGTGAAGAACTAAACGATTCTGATTCAAACGTGCGATTCTGATTCAAACACGCGTGAACACTGAGTCGTGAAGAACTGAACGATTCCAATTCAAACACGCGTGAACACTGAGTCGTGCAGAACTGAACGATTCTGACTCAAACATGCATGAACACTGAGTCGTGAAGAACTGAACGATTCCGATTCAAACACGCGTGAACACTGAGTCGTGAAGAACTGAACGATTCCGATTCAAACACGCGTGAACACTGAGTCGTGAAGAACTAAACGATTCTGATTCAAACACGTGCGATTCTGATTCAAACACGCGTGAACACTGAGTCGTGAAGAACTAAACGATTCTGATTCAAACGTGCGATTCTGATTCAAACACGCGTGAACACTGAGTCGTGCAGAACTGAACGATTCTGACTCAAACACGCGTGAACACTGAGTTGTGCAGAACGATTCCGATTCAAACACGCGTGAACACTGAGTCGTGCAGAACTGAACGATTCTGACTCAAACATGCATGAACACTGAGTCGTGAAGAACTAAACGATTCTGATTCAAACGTGCGATTCTGATTCAAACACGCATGAACACTGAGTCGTGAAGAACTAAACGATTCTGATTCAAACGTGCGATTCTGATTCAAACACGCGTGAATACTGAGTCGTGAAGAACTGAACGATTCCGATTCAAACACGCGTGAACACTGAGTCGTGAAGAACTAAACGATTCTGATTCAAACACGTGCGATTCTGATTCAAACACGCGTGAACACTGAGTCGTGAAGAACTAAACGATTCTGATTCAAACGTGCGATTCTGATTCAAACACGCGTGAACACTGAGTCGTGAAGAACTAAACGATTCTGATTCAAACACGTGCGATTCTGATTCAAACACGCGTGAACACTGAGTCGTGAAGAACTAAACGATTCTGATTCAAACGTGCGATTCTGATTCAAACACGCGTGAACACTGAGTCGTGAAGAACTAAACGATTCTGATTCAAACGTGCGATTCTGATTCAAACACGCATGAACACTGAGTCGTGAAGAACTAAACGATTCTGATTCAAACGTGCGATTCTGATTCAAACACGCGTGAACACTGAGTCGTGAAGAACTAAACGATTCTGATTCAAACGTGCGATTCTGATTCAAACACGCGTGAACACTGAGTCGTGAAGAACTGAATGATTCTGATTCATTAACAAATCCATTCATGATTCTTTGATGGAAGCACATCCAATTCCACTAAAGTTTCTTCATAGTGAATACATGACCTTTAGATGATTAAAACGTTCTTCACACTAAGAATAACTTTGTCTTCACTGAAAGGTTGCGAGTGTCTCCCTTTACCTCTAACCAAGCGCTACATAACGGATGATGCTTGAGGAGCTTGTTCTCTGAGGTGGAGGGTGATGATACGAGAACATCTGAATCATCATCATCCTGACGGCTCATATCATTACAGTCGTGCTTCTGCAGCGTTTGACCTCCAAACTCTCTGGCAACAATGTTCTGGTCACTTCCTCTAATCTCCGAGGGGTCAGAGGTCACGGGACTGTGTCTTCAGGAAATGAAACCTAAAGCTGCAGTGTGATACGGGCTGTTGCACATTAATGTGTTCATCTGAGCGCCGGGTCTCCGCTTACTGTGTGTGTGTGTGTGTGTGTGTGTGGTGTACCTATAGAACCGCCTTTTGTAATGGAGCGTATGCATGTTGATTTTGTGAATGAGCGTGTGTGTGTGTACTCATTAAATGTTAAAGTCTGTACTGGGATCAGAGCTCAGGACACAACAGAAGCCTAAATCACACACGGACGTCTCACAGACTAACGACACGTCTCCATGGTTACAGACCCACAACTTCCCTTCACTACGATATCATTCTGATGGAGTGTGTGTTAGCAACCACATAGAATGCATTAGTCACATAGGAACACCTTAATGCATTCAATGTGGTTGCTAAGGTGTTGCTATGTGGCTGTAATGTGTTCTGTGTAGTTACTAGAGTGTTGCTACTGTATGTGACTAATGCATTCAATGTGGACACTAAGGTGTTTCTATGCGACTACTGTGTTCTGTGTGGTTGCTAGGGTGTTTCTATGTGACTAATATGTTCAAGCTGCATTCTAAGGTGTTGTTATGTGACTGTACTGTGTTCTGTGTGGTTGCTAGGGTGTGTCTATGCGACTAATGCATTCAATGTGGTCCCTGAGGTGCTGCTATGTGACTATACTGTGTCCTGTGTGGTTGCTAAGGAGTTGTTGTGACTAATGTGTTCTGTGTGGTTGTTAGGGTGTTTATATGTGACTGTAATGTGTTCTGTGTGGTTGCTAGGGTGTTACTATGTGACGAATGCATTCAGTGTGGTTGCTAAGGTGTTGCTATGTGACTATACTGTCTCCTGTGTGGTTGCTAAGGAGTTGCTGCGACTAATGCATTCAATGTGGTAACTAAGGTGTTGCTATGCAACTGTAATGTGTTCTGTGTGGTTGCTAGGGTGTTTCTCTGTGACTAATATGTTCAAGGTGCATACTAAGGTGTTGTTATGTGACTGCACTGTGTTCTGTGTGGTTGCTAGGGTGTGTCTATGTGACTAATGCATTCAATGTGGTCCCTAAGGTGCTGCTATGTGACTATACTGTGTCCTGTGTGGTTGCTAAGGAGTTGTTGTGACTAATGTGTTCTGTGTGGTTGCTAGGGTGTTTATATGTTACTAATGTGTTCCGTGTGGTTGCTAGGGTGTTACTATGTGACGAATGCATTCAGTGTGGTTGCTAAGATGTTGCTATGTGACTATACTGTGTTCTGTGTGGTTGCTAAGGAGTTGCTGCGACTAATGCATTCAATGTGGTAACTAAGGTGTTGCTATGCAACTGTAATGTGTTCTGTGTGGTTGCTAGAGTGTTTCTATGTGACTAATGTGCTCAATGTGGAAACTAAGCTGTTGCTCTGTGACTACTGTGTTGTGTGCTTGCTAGGGTGTTGCTTTGGGACTGATGCGTTCAATGTGGTTACTAAGGTGTTACTATGTGACTGAAATATGTTCTGTGTGGTTGCTAGGGTGTTGCTATGTGACTGTTCAATATGGTTACTAAGGTATGTGACTTTTGTGTGGTTGCTAGGGTGTTGCTTTGTGACTAATGTGTTCAATGTGGTTACTAAGGTGTTGCTATGTGACTAAAGTGTTCTGTGTGGTTGCTAGGGTGTTACTATGTGACGAATGCATTCAGTGTGGTAGCTAAGGTGTTGCTATGTGACTATACTGTGTGGTTGCTAGGGATTTCCTGTGACTATACTGTGTTCAATGTGGTTGAACATTGTTGAACTATGTTGCTTCGGTGTGGTTGCTAGGGTGTTGCTATGTGACTAATGCAATGTGGTTGCTAGTCACATAACAGCACCCTAAAAACCACACTGAATGCATTAGTCACATAACAACACTCTAGTAACCACACGTAACACAGTCTCATAGCAACACCTTAGCAACCACACTGAACACATTACGGTCACATAGCAACAGCGTAGCATCATGGCGGTGAGTTTTAGATAGGCCAACGTCTGGTGATGTGCGTTGAGGTGATCAGGACAGGCACTGAAGGACGGACGCAGCTCCGTTAGCTTCATCTAGTCATCAATGCTAATCTGATTCATCTAAAACTTCACCTGATCTGTCAGCCAATTACGCTCCGCATTACTGAGCGGCGTCCAATCGCGCTCATCGATCTGACAGCGGATGTGCCTCGGGCTCCCTGGTGTAAACACCGTTCACTGGCCCATCTCTCACGGGTAATATTATCCGAACTATATTTCACAAGCACAGAAACAGACAGCACCTGAAATACACAGGCTGTAATTGTATTGACGAGCCATTATGTCCCTCAGAGAGCCGATACTCCGCCACTAAAATAGGCCGTGAAGACATTTCTGGCTGGTCTTGATCTGGTACTCACCATCGGCCTGCGATTCTCCACCAGGTTCAGACCGACGACTCCCAGGAACGCTCCGAAGCTCAGCTGCCGTCCACAAGAGCACAACACAACAGAGTCAGCATGCAATAATAACTTGACTTCATCTCTCAGCCAAATAATGACAGACCTTAAAGGTGCAGTGTGTGATTTTAGCAGCATCTAGTGGCGAGGTTGTGAACTGCACCCAACAGAAGTTACGGTGGCCGACAGGAAGTGATGTCGTCGTCTGAGACAGCAGAGAGTCGTCAGTTAAACAATGAGGTTTCTTTACAAAGAGAAATTAAGAAATTAGGTTTACTTTATTATTCAGTAAATCGATATGTTATTGCCAGTGTTGGGAGTAACGCGTTACAAAAGTAATGCATTACAGTAACATATTACTTTTTGCTGTAACGCAGTAGTGTAAGGCATTACTAATCAATTTTCAGTAATATTTTACTCGGTACATGTTCAGTAAGGCTTGCGTTACAACAGACTTTTAGTTTTAATTGTAAAAAAAAAAAAAAACAAAAAAAAAAAAACAGCAAGACCGCGAGACATTAAGGAATGAAAAATGCAAGTAGGCTACATTACCTGTTCGTGGTCAGTCAATAGCCGCGTGTGGTGTCCAAGTCTGTAAATAAAGACTAAATGACAGCGTCTGATATATTTGTATAGCGATTTATTTTTTACAGGAGTGCCGTGAAGTATGATTTCGGCTTCTGTGCTTGTGCTGGCCAGTGGAAAAGCGGTTAATGGTGAAGATGGCATGAACGTCCATCTCGCGAATGTATAGTCTTCTTCATCATGAAGAAGACTACACATTCGCGAGATGGACGTATGCGCATTATGTTATTCGTTCTGTGTTTCCTTTCTAAACAGTTAGGCTATGTTTAGGCTATGTGGTATTTTTCATGTTTTCATCACGCAATCATTTTTTTGATGCGGTGGTGACGCGTTCATGTAAGGGCGGCGGCGCTGCCGATAAAGCACCTAAAAGCTGTCACAAAGAACCGGCAAATTAATGTTTATGAATATGTCAAATATAGCAAGGAGACATTTTAATTGTAAAGTCAAGATGAAGTTGACGATGCTGACTCGCGATCTTCGCAGCTAGTGAATGCACCAGAGAGAAATTCACATTTCATTTCATAAGCAGAGTCTGTTTTCTTTCCGTTTTGAATTGTTCTGTTTACAAGTAGACATTTCAATATAGATATATTTTTCAGGTCCGTGAATAGGCTACCTTATACGCTGAGTTTCGGTTCATTTATGAGACGCGCTCCAGTTCACCTCCGTGTCGTGATGGCCTATCTATAATTGTCTGCTATATTTAGCCTACTTCTTATTTATTAAATCCAACTTATCCAAGTAATTGGTTGATGAAACATTGATTACAATTAAGATACAATTAATACAAAACGAAATTCACTTTAAAGAAATGTTTTTGTGTCTTCTGTGTAAGGTCTCTGTGAAAGTTTTAAAGCAGTCTTTTAGTGCCGCTTCAGCGCTCGCGTCCGTAATGGAGAACTGTCACGTCTGTAACATTGTTTTTTCCTCATAAATGCGAACACGAAAATAAAATAAAATGAATATTTTATGTTCTGTGGAGAGCCAACCCTTCTTCATCCGATTTGCGCAGTGTAATTCACAGAATAAAAATAAAAAAATAAAAAAAAACTTTGCCTCATAAAAGTTAAAGATTTTTTTTTTGTCACGCATAACGGTCTATTTCCCTAATATTAAATATAAAACGCATGTGTAGACTGATATTTTTCTAATGTCTGGACTCCTTTCAGGGAGGAGCCTATGGATAAACAGACGTTTCAATATTTTGGTATTAATGCATTTTCTGAGAATTTAGGCTATATTTCAAGTTTTGACTGCAAATGTCACGTCCACAACGCTGGAATTCCCAAATTTTAAATAATTTTTCCTCAACTAGTTTTGTGGTGTAGGTCTACGTATTTTATAATGTTAAGTTAACTTCAAATAATACTAATAGTAATTTAAAGATGTGGTAGCATTGGATCTGGAAGGTATGGATAACGCTGGGAGTTGGAAGAGGTGTGTCGCGATTCTGCAGGTTCGTGGATCTGAGTGTCGCGATTTCGGTTTCATATCGCATATCGTTACAGCCCTAGACATTTAGAATGGTAAGTTCTACTTCTGTATAGTTATTTTGGTGAAAGTAACTCAAAAGTAATACAGGAGTAATGTAACGCATTACAATTCTGAGACAGTAATATTGTAAGGTAATGAATTACTTTTAAATAACAGTAACAAGTAATATATAATGTATTACAGTTTGGAAGTAACTTGCACAACACTGGTTATTGCGAATATTATTGTGACTTGTTCATCATTGTGTCGGTGTTTTATTCGCTGACTTTAGTTTCGCTTCTTTGCACGAAGAACAACAGTGACGAAACACGTTTGTCCGCTCAGGGCCACCGTAGAAACCTGTCGGTGTAAGCGGACCCGCGGTGTGTGTAGAGAGAAACGCTCAATCTAAGCTAATAAACACACAACGCTCCTTTATACACCACTGATAACATAGTTATGTTTATGATATTGCATTTCTGTCACCAGATCCTCCTAAATATTACACACTGCACCTTTAAGGCTCAAACTCCTGCTGCTGTCCTGGTGTTTTATTGCACAAATGAAAGGACAAAACAAAGAGTTCATTAAAGTAATGAAGTGTGAAGTTCTCCTCACTCACTATAATCCCGGGATAGTATCCAGACACGGCCACGTTATCCGTGTGTGTGGCCGACAGGAGCCCGACCACCAGAACCAGAACCGAGAGTCCGAACAGAGACCCGGAACACCAGAGAGCCGTCCGCCGGCGCTTCACAAACACATCTGCGCACACACACACACACACACACACACACACACACACACGCATCACGTGTTTAGTCTATAGATATGTGTGTTTGGATATATATGTGCGCAGGCGTGTGTCTTTCTCTACAAAGTGATCTCAACTAATTACTCACTGGCCTTAAAAAGTCATAATACAGAATTATTTATCGCTTCCGCGTATCCATGCGAACTGGAATCATTCTGACAACGTTTACCAGAGTTATATTGAACATTATCCTGGCTCTTCCCAGCTTTACAATGGGAGTGAATGGAGGAGGAGATTATGAAGCCCTAAAAAGCTCATCATCATCATAACAATAATCCATACGCCCTCAGGGGTTAATACAGGCCTTCTGAAGCCGAGGAACATATCCATATTTATAACTTTATAAACTATAATCACTGGGTTCCGGTAACGGCCGTACACGAGTCGAGTTCCGGCGGAAGAGTGACCTCTGACCCCACGCATGACGAGTGACCTCTGACCCCACGCATGACGAGTGACCTCTGACCCCACGCATGACGAGTGAGTGACCTCTGACCCCACGCATGACGAGTGACCTCTGACCCCACATATGACCTAAAACATGACATACTGACGAACGCAGAGGATCGGGCAAAACCAAAACAGGACACTAATTAGAGTCTAAAAAGATGATTTATAAAGAGAAAAGTGGGAGGAGTTGAGTTTGTCTGAATCGTTAGAGGCGTCGACTTTCACCTGAGCTTACGCTACTCCTACATCATGCGTCGGGTCAGAGGTCACTCGTCATGCATCGGGTCAGAGGTCGCTTGTCATGCGTGGGGTCAGAGGTCACTTGTCATGCGTGGGGTCAGAGGTCACTCGTCATGCATCGGGTCAGAGGTCACTTGTCATGCGTGGGGTCAGAGGTCACTCGTCATGCATCGGGTCAGAGGTCACTTGTCATGCGTGGGGTCAGAGGTTACTTGACAATGCAGGGGTCAGAGGTCACTCGTCATGCGTGGGGTCAGAGGTCACTCGTCATGCATCGGGTCAGAGGTCACTTGTCATGCGTGGGGTCAGAGGTCACTCATCATGCATCAGGTCAGAGGTCACTCACTCGTCGGGTCAGAGGTCACTCTTCCGCCGGAACTCTACTCGTGTACGGCCGTTACCGGAAGCCAGTGATTATAGTTTATAAAGTTATAAATATGGATATGTTTCTCGGCTTCAGAAGGCCTGTATTAACCCCTGCAGGCGCATGGATTATTGTTATGATGATGGAGGCACCTTTTTGAGCTGCAATTATATTATAAACTCATTATAAAGCTGGGAAAAGGATATATTTAATATAACTCCGACTGTGTTCGGCTGAAAGAAGAAAGTCATATACAGCTGACAGGAGAACGAGTAAATTATGGGATTATTTTCATTTTTGGGCAAACTATCCCTTTAAGGAACACGTGATTGTGCTAAAACTATTGGAATGTTACTTTTAAATGTTCTCTGAACGTTCTGAAACAAGCAACATTTATAAAACGTTAAACATACAACTAAAATGTTTGGGAAAAAACGTTCCATGAATGACGTATAAATGTTTTCTACAGAATACTATTAAAGACCAAATAAACGTTCCGTTTGCAGGTTTATTGCAAATCTCACGTGCTTGATGAATATCGTCGCAAAACGTAAACTAAGCTACCGCGCAAGATAACTGCGCCTATATGAAGATATTATAAACATTACATCTGTAAAAACTGCCGTGAAACAATTTAATACACAAATACAATTGGCTTGACTGAAGTCTTACATTAGAAAAACAAACGGACAGTAAACGTGTCGAACATTAGTGTGATATTTGTTAAATACACCAAAATGCAAAAAAACTATCATTTGCATAACTGAGGTTTAAAAATAAAACAAGTTAAAAAACGCCGCCTTCACTTCATGCATGATACAACTATTAGAAAAATATTACTTAGTTTCTCAATAGAATTGCACTTTTTAAATAAATGAAATTATTTTTAAACGCATGAAACAAATAAAGAACACAAAACACCGCAGTCTTTATACTTAATTAAATAAACATCTCTGTGGGGTTTATAAACTTCCTCTTCTGATGGACCGTTATAACAGATGAGCTATGGTTATTACAGATCACATTATGCTATCATAAGAACAAACGCTCATCTAATAACATGATTATTAATTTATCATAACTCACCCGCTGGATCCGCGTTGGTCTGCGGCGCGTTCTGCTGCATCGCGTCTGATGTTACACACACACACACACACAGAATCTTATCCACAAAATAAAGTTTATATTTTCCTCCGTGTTTATAACAATTCCTCTCAGGGAAAGTGTCGCGCGCGGGACTGACAACAAAAACTCACGGGACTGAGGAGCTGACGGTGACGCACGAGCGGAGCGGGGCGCGCGCGCACGAACACACACACACACACACAGTAGAATCTATTCTACGGGCTTAAAAAGAAAGCTTAAAGCTTGACTGTAAAGTAAAGTTTTTCAAGACAGACTTTGAATGACAACACTAGTCTAAAAACATCTTAAAACAGAAAAATATCTATATATTTCCAGACTCAATTGATTTTAATAATTTTTTGACCAAACGTATTTTGGTTTAAATGGTTTAAATGTATTTAAATCAAATGCATTTACTTAATATTTGTATCTTTTTTTTTTAACACTTTCTTTTAACCCCAATTTGAAAACCGAAGTTTGAAGCAACTTCATGAAGGAAACCATAAACATTCGATCCCACCGAAACACAATGATGGATTTCAATAATCAAATCAGAGCTTTGATAAACTATTAGGTTAACTTCTGATCAGGGAGAAAAATCATCAACACAAACATTTAAAACAGATTTTATTTACATAAAACAAAACATCACAACATAAAAAAGAGGAATGAAGTTCATAAGAGAATCAGAAGCTCCAGCGGTGAAGATGATCAGTAATGAGTGACAGACAGCGACTGAGTTCAGATCATGGCCTTAGCGTTCACGTTAGCATCGGTGTCATCACTGCGTCAGACAGGCGTTGGCGTTCACGTTAGCGTCAGCGTCGTCACTGCGTTAGCATCAGCGTCATCACTGCGTCAGACAGTCGTTAGCATTCACGTTAGCATCAGCGTCGACACTGCGTTAGCGTTCACGTCAGCATCGGTGTCGTCACTGCGTTAGCATCGGTGTCATCACTGTGTCGGACAGGCGTTAGCGTTCACGTTAGCATCAGCGTCGTCACTGCGTTAGCGTTCACGTTAGCATCGGTGTCATCACTGCGTCGGACAGGCGTTTAAGTTCACGTTAGCATCAGCGTCGACACTGCGTTAGCGTTCACGTCAGCATCGGTGTCGTCACTGCGTTAGCATCGGTGTCATCACTGCGTCGGACAGGCGTTAGCATTCACGTTAGCATCAGCGTCGGGCTCCGAGGGAGAAGCGCTGGGAATCTGCCACCAGTCGTCGAGAGTTACGGCGCTCGATCCCACGCCGGCGCTGGACTCTGAAACAATAATCATCATTAAGTTAGATTAATTCCATCTGTAAAGCAGCTCTACACGGACACAGTGGCATTATTCAGACCAATCTATTCAATTCAGTAACGGTCAATACTGCAAAGTTCATCAATTATGAAAAATTCAATTAATATTATTCAGCTCAATTCAGTTAGATGTTGAGTCAATTAAGTTTAATTAGTCTCAATGTTGCAAAGTTCAATTAGTAGAGATGCTTTACAGCAGAGTTGCATTTTTCATAATTATTCATACATAAGATCTGAATAATGACGCTGTTGTGTTTAGAGATTAATTGAATTTATCATAATTGATGAGTTTTGCAGCATTGACCGTTATTGAGCTGAATAATGACATCATCTCCTGTAAAGTTGAAGACATTATTCAGTTCAAGCTGTGGAGTTCTCATGCGATAGTGTCAGATCAACAAAACTTTATGAGTATTAATCATCTTTAAACCCTATAATGGTCCAGGAAGTGAAACTCCAGTGACAGAAAGAGTGTCGGACCAGAAGAGAGCAGATCCCAGTGACACGCGTGAACCCTCTCCCCGACGCCACACAACCGGCCAATCAGGAGTTAGATTCATATTCAGCAGGATTTGATTTCATATCTCTCGTTCCTGTCACTCTGAACCCCCAGAGATACACAGTGTCCCGACAGCAGGTTAGTGAGAACCCCCCCCCCACACACACACACACACACGTGCAGTTTACCCTCGTCATCACTGTCAGAGAAGTCCAGGAGCGGCCCAGCCGACGAACACGACACCTCTGACAACACACACAGCGCATGTAAAACTCCTGTGCCAGACATCCACATAACTCAACATCACGATACGGCTCAGTGCGACTGACAATTAAACAGCACCGGTTCCCGAGTGATGCACGTCATTCACGCGCCTAACGTGTGTGTGTGTGTGTGTGTGTGTGTGAGCAGTGCCGAGCTTTACTCTGAAACCAGCGGCGCAGTGTTTGCCAGCAACCCGTCAAAATAAAAGCATGATGTTTACCTTTTGAAAATTAAGACAAGTATAATTTCAGTACTATAAAATGACTATGTAAAATGTATTGTTTAAATTTTTTTTTTTTAAACAATCATGATAAAATCTATTGTCATTTTATAGATATCAGAATTAGTCAAAAAAACAGTGGGAAAGTGGCCTGAGGAAAAAAAGATTTTTCAATGAAACGGCAAGTAACGAAGATAGTATTATAGACCAACGCTACTTTGGCGTCATCGAAGGAATCACCAAGTAAGTAGCCTATTTTTTTTTGTGTCATTAACACTCACAGTTTGACAAACTAGACGATGAGGCCATGTCACCTGGATCATATTTAACTTGATTTAAGCTATTGACATAGTTTTGTTGTCGACTAGCTATACTATACTGTTGAAATAGATGCAGGCTAGGACTAAAGTGGACTTGGCTGGTTTCTGCTTGTGTCCAGAAAGTGCTAGGACTTTGAAAGTTGTAAAAAGGTTTACAGTGTACGGCAAAATATGTATAGGACCAATGTATGTATGTATGGGGCTATCAAATTGGATGTTGTGACATTACGCTATCCTATCTAGCCTAGAAGGCTTGATCTACTGCCGTTCGTGTTGTTGCATGTAGCCTGGGCTCGTTGAAAAGTCATTTAGGCCTAAAGCACTTTCTAGACACAAGCAGAAACCAGCCAAGTCCACTTTAGTCCTAGCCTGCCACTATTTCAACAGTAAAATCAGTTAACAGCCAAGGTAGCGTGCCTAGTGAGAGCTAATCACGTAACGTTAGCTGCTAGCAGCTTCGTCTTTCTAACTAGTATAGCTAGTCGACAACAAAACTGTCAATAGCTTAAATCAAGTTAAATATGATCCAGGTGACATGGCCTCATCGTGTAGTTTGTCATACTGTGAGTGTGTTAATGACAAAAAAAAAAATAGGCTACTTGGTGATTCCACGAGATAGTGGTAGATGTCTGAATAGTCCATATTTGGCCACTGCGTGGGGTCATTAATCCAGTTTTCGACCATTTCAAAAGGACACCTCTGTAACCCCGTATCCAGTAGCTTCTTTAAGTTTGTGCCATTTGCTATCAAGAAACTTAGCAGATCTAGAGCGAGTTCTGTTCTCAGGGGAATCCGTTTGTTTTCCCCCAAAAGGGGGCGTTACCCTTCGATGACGCAAAAGTAGCGTTGGTCTATTGGAGTATGTTTTATAAGAAAATAATACTGTTTTATGTATAACTAAAAAAATATCTATTTTTATTACACTGAAGCTATTCCTTTAAAAAAGAAAAAACTGAAGGTTTCTTTTTTTTTAATAGTGAAATTTTAATTTTATTATTTATATTAGAGCTCCACGATTCTGGACAAATTAAGATACTAAATAGAGATCCGATTCTCCCAACTAAAACAATAAGATGGAAATCCCTAGAGGTTCTGACAAAAACATTAAATGCATAATTAAATTAGAATGAATCATTCGTTCAAATAAATTCTTTAAATATTCAATGACTCACTCAAAGACTTTTCATAACTGGATGAATCTCGTTTAACAAATTCGCTGTCACCTAGGAATAAGATCCCGATCTTTAAACGATTAATCCTGCAGCTCTAATTAGCATTTTCCATGCAGATGAACTCAAAATCACCCCACTTGTTGTAGAGCGAGCAGGGTCAGGGTAAGGGTCAGGTGCGGGGTCAGGGTAAGGGTCAGCGGCCCCGTCCACACTACTGCGTTTTCGTTTAAAAACGGAGACCTTTTGCTACGTTCGCACCTCCCGTCCACACTAAAACGGCAAAAACGGAGAAGTTTAGCCTGACTTCGTCATACTCATATTCTAGTCAGAATGTGAGTCTGATACTGCTCCATAGGGCTTTGATTATGAGGCGTGTCTTAACCGAACCAGGAAAAAAAAAAACTCTGCACTCAATTGGATAGACCTACAACCAATCAGAGCAACGCAGTAAGTCAACTACTTTGCATAGCACAGTTGTCAACTCAACTCAACTGCACGCACGCTGGAAGTAAAATAATGAGTGTTGCTTCTTTTACTTGGTCCTCCATAAGTGCGACCAAAGGAGAAACCACAGCGACCGCAGGGTTTCATTGCCTCCCAATCCAATGTTGTTTTCGTCAACGATGACGATAACGAAATGATTTTGTTGACGCACTTTTTTTTTATGACGATAACGCGACGATGACTAGCTAAAAATGGCTCTAAGGTGACTAAAACATGACGAGACGTTTTCGAGTTGACAAGACGAGACGAAAATGAAAATGACTAAGTCTGACGTTCACAATGCATGTCATTTCTGCCTATTTTGAGCTAAAAAAGTATCAGCAATGCTGCCGCTTCCTATCATTGTTTTGGGTACCCATGCCGCGCGCGCACCGGATTCCACACAACAACACACTGCGGCTAGTCACTCGCTACACATCTTCAAAGGACCATGGCGGCAAAGCCAATAAACGGGCTTGGTGGTCGGAAACGACGAGATTTATGGACATAGGCTACTTTCAATTTCTGTATAATCCAGCGGTCCTCAAGTGTGGGGCGCGCCCCACTGGCGTGACAGGTCGCCTCCAAAGCGGGAGGAAATTTTCCGTTTTATGCCTTTTTATCTTTATTCGTTCATGGCGAGTCCGCATCGTCAAATTCATCTTTGCAGCGACACCGAAAACACCAGTTTATTAATAAACAATTAAATGTCTCGTTGCTATTTTTTTACACATTCATAATCATTACTTTTGCCGGTTCTTTGTGGCAAGCTTTAGCGTGCGGTCGTGCGCTTGAGTGCGGCTATAACGCTCAGTATCCCGTATAGCCTATTTAAGTAATTAAATTAATATAAAGGGCCGATTTGTCCACTAATGGCTTAAATGAACTACTAGTCGACTAGAATACAAACTTTAGTCGGAGGCAGCTCTTATTCCACATATTCTCGAACCAGCAGGCCATTCTGTGTTGAGCGCGCGACCCTGAGCTGAATGAGCGAGCGGAGGAATATTCAGAAATGCGCTCTCCGCTCACATGCTCTGATCGGAACAAAGGAATATTAAAGTAATTATCATTAGTTTATATCTTATACACGGCCCATACACTACCCATCATTTTAATCCCATATCAAACAGTATGTTATGTCTATTTTATCAATTTAAAAAATATATATCATGTTTTTAAGTAGGCTAAAGGCAGAGAGCTGTGTGCATTCTTCCCTTTGCCACATCATATCTCTGTGAGACGGGCTTTTCAGCTGTTTCAGTTTGACTGAAAACAAAGTACAGATCTCAGCTGAACATTGAGCATGACTTTTGAGAAATTGTGCAATTCAAAACAGGCTCATTGCAGCCACTAATGCAGGGATAAATAGACCTGTCTTACCAAATGGATTTCTATTCTTTTCTTTTTTTTAACAGATTGCAAAGTGGCACTTTTATTTCTTTTCTATTTTTGAACTTGATACCAATTTTGACACCGCCGCATTTTATTTTCTCTATTTTTTAAAGACTTTTTTTTTTTTTTTTTTACTAAAATTGACTAAAACTTGACTAAAACCTTTTTTTGTTTTAATCGACTAAAACTTGACTAAAACTATTAAGTTTTTAAGTGACTAAAATGTGACTAAAACTAAAAAGCATTTTCGTCCAAAAGACTAAGACTAAGACTAAAACTAAAAGGGCTGCCAAAAACAACACTGGGCCCATCTTCTTAGCGACCATCGGAGCCAGCTGATAAAATACACTTTTGCCGAATCCTGTAGGAAGGACGGCAAAAATATCTTTCCAATCGACAAATGCCTTGATTGCAGTTTTCTGTTCGTCTTTTAAAATGAATGCGCTGTCGATTTCTTCTACAACAGACGCGATAGCGGGATCTCTACATCTCAGTTCTCCAGCGGCAGTCATCGCGCTCTTTGATAACGTGATGATTACGTCCCTGCAGACCATCATCGTATAAAGCCCGCCCTGGCAATTTGATTGGCCCGAACATTTTTTGACTGATCATAATTACTCCTCAATGGATTGAGTCCAGACCGAACTTCCCGACCAAACAATGTTATGGGACAGCGCTATAACTGCCTACATGCGCCGGAGTCAAGCTATTATTCCAGCGATCTGTGACAATTCCCGTGTGCAGCGGCGGCGTTGACCGTACATGGAGCGTCGGTTTGGGGTTAACCCAGAGCATGGTGGGATAATTTTATCAATGAAGTTGTGTTTACACCGGCGCGCGCATGCCCAGTGTTGGTGAATGGTCACGTGATCCGCGTTTTCAGTCGTTTTAATGTGGACGGAGACCAATTCTAATACGCAGCTAAGACGCTGGTGTGGACGGAGATCGTGTTCGTTTTAATTATCCGTTTCTAAACTAAAACGCAGTAGTGTGGATGGGGCCAGAGTCAGCTGTGGGGTCAGGGTCGAGGTAAGCTGTGGGGTCAGGGGTCAGGGTGGTGACGGTGCAGGAGGAGTACCTGGCACGGTCCCGAGGCTGGAGTTGTCGAAGAACTGCGTGGGCCGGCTGAGGGCGAGGGGAGCGCTGGAGCGCGAGTCGAAGATCTTGCTCTTGGGCGAGTCGAGGAAGGCTCTCTTCGGGGAGTTGAGCTCGGTCTCGCTCAGGGGCGGCTGACGCTTCTTCGGAGTGCATGGAGCGTCTCTCACGCTCTCCTTGATCTTATACGCTCGCCGCTTCCACTTGTGGAGCTCCTCCTGCTGCTTGCTCACCAGACTGCAGGAGGACACACGGTTGATTAGGGTTAGGACAGAGATATATATATATACACACACACACACCCAATCAAAGTTTTGGATCGGTAAGATTTTTTATGTTTTTAAAAAGTCTCTTCTGCTCACCAAGGCTGCGTTCATTTGATCAAAAAAAAAGTTTTATTGTTAAATATTATGACAATATAAAATTACTTTTCTATTTTAATATATTTTAAAATTTATTTTATTCCTGTGATCAAAGCTGAATTTTCAACATCATTACTCCAGTCTTCAGTGTCACATGATTATACAATTTATTTCAGGATTATTTGATGAATAGAAAGTAAATACAGCATTTATCTGAAATAGAATCTTTTGTAACATTATAAAATGTCTTTACTGGAATAATATTTCACTGTTTTACTGTATTTTTAATCAAATAAACGCAGCCTTGCTGAGAAGAGACTTTTTAAAAACAATCTTACCGATTCAAAACTTTTGACTGGTAGTGTATATAGTCACAATTCATCCTAAAAATAGAGATATTTTGGTCAAAGTTTGCTGACATCTGTTCATTTATAGCCATAAACTCAAACATCTAGAGTCACTCCTGTATTGTGTTCACACACTTTAGAGGATTCAGGGCCACACTGAAACGCAGGGATCTAATCCGCAGACAGGAAGTGATGTTTGTGTGGTTACCTCTCTAACTGAGCGTTCTTCTTCTGAAGCTCCTCCATCTTCTCCTTGAGGGATGAGACCGCTCTGGTGTTTGAGCCCAAATTCATGACAAACTCGTCACCGTCTGCGACTGCAGAACACATTTACAGCACTTATAGAAGTCACATGACATCAACACTGAATCTGTTCCTCTCTTAAAGGGCTAGTTCACCCAAAATAAATTCTGTCATCAATGCCATTCAAACCAATAGGACTTTCGCCCCTCGACTAAAAAGCCTGTTCAACTAAAACTGATGTTTTAAAACGTTCATGTTCTGGAGATGAACATGTCTTATTGGTTTAGGAAGACATGAGAGTGAATCGTATTTTGGGTGAACTAAACCTTTAATTCATGTTCCTACTCTTTTTGTATTCTAAAAAAAAAAAATTCACATTCATATTCAAATAGTTTCTTTGCACCATTTTCAGGTTAGACGCCATATTGAACACGGATGGAAACGAGGCTGTGAGGGATTCAGTCTTTATAATGATGCGCGCACTAAAAGGTCCAAGATCATGTCCTTTTCAAAACTCACAACAGTTTTATACATTTTTTGTCTGATTATTATTTTTCCCAGAAGGGCGTTTTGTCGGCTGGACGATCAGTAAAGTTAAAGTCAAGCAAGTTAAACTATAAAATATAAATTTGCACAAGATAAAAATGAATTCAGGGTCTTTGAAAGCGTTTCACCATGTGATCAATCATTAGTGAGTTCAGTTCTACACAGACTAGTGGCCCAGCGTCTCTCACATGACTGCTCGTCGTCCTGCTGCATCTTCCTCAGGCTCTCCTTCAGCTTGCGGATCACGTCGGCTCTGTGCTCCAACATGGAGCTCATCTGGGCCATTCTAGAAGGAAGGAATCACAGGACACGTTACAGGCTGTTCCCAGTCTCCGGATCTGCACGACGCTAACAGGCTCCAGTCTGCATTACAGCACGCACTCCTTCTCATGGCTCGTGGAGACAGCGATGTGATCCAGCTCCATTTTGACGAGTTTGTCCTTCAAGCCGGCGAGTTCAGCGGCAGCCGGAGTCATGTTCCTCTTAAACAGGACCTGCAGGAAAATACCAAGCATGAGGTGGATAGAGAGAAACCACAGGTGAAAAACATCGGATGGTGTGGCAGCTGTAACGCTAACCGTGTTACCATCTAAAGTTACGAGATTAACTATTTGCAAATGTTTTATGCGATATTCCAGTCACTTCCTGGGAAATTGCAGAAACTGTTTAATTACTGATATTTAGTGCCAATCTTTCTCTTTTCCCTCCATCATAAACGAGTGTGTCAAGCGTCAGACGAAACAAACGCTGTCGTGTTCTCTGGCGTTCGGATGCTGGTGTTCAGGAACACACTCGTGTGTGTGAGACGCTTCTGGAGGGAATAAACCCAATCACTCTGATCACACACTTCGACTTTCAGAAACACCAGACCAACATTAGAGACGCTGCGACGCCATTGGTCCGCTGGTTACTCCAGTTATCCATGTTTGTTCAGTATATTGTTTTTACGTCAAAAGGGAAAACCTAGATATGGTGTTGATGAACTGACATGGGTTTCACATTCCTGCTTCCTTTTTATAAACTCAACTGTCTAATGGCCATCATTAAGTGAACCATTAACGAACCTCTGACTCTTTAAGTTTAGCCTCCAGGTTGTGAATGAGGCCTTGCTTCTGCTTCAGCTGGGCAGCGAGCTCCTGGAGCTGGAGATGTGTCCGGTGTGCAGAATCTGCCTGAAGCTTCAGGCCCTTCGTCTGCTCCAGAACCTCCTGCCAGACACACAACGAGGAACGCTTTACCATCACATACTCAAACTACCGACCAATAATCTGTAACAATATTCATTCATTTTTGTTGATCTTAGTTAATAAAAAGAGTCTAATTTCACCAGAAGATCCAATCTTGAATTTTTTTAATTAAATTACAAGGTTAAAGGTGCAGTCTGTAAGAATTACAGCTAGTGGTCGGAATCGGTACTGCAGTCCAAAATCGAAATATCGGAGATCGTTGTTTCCCCGCCTCCTCAGACTCGACGCTCACACGGGCAGCCAGTTTGAGGACACACATTATATAAAATAATAAACAAAATAACTGGCTGTAGAAGTGTTTCAGAGAAACGAGTATGTGAACTTAGCATGTTTCTTAAATATCTGCAAACCTATGGTATTTTGATGCTTTAGTAGAGTAAATAAAGTTGCATATGCAACATATGCATGGACGAATTGTTCACAATAAGATGCACATTAGACACGTTCACCCACTGCGTACCTCCATCTGCTTCTGCGTTTGCTGCAGTCGCAGCGTCAGACTGAGATTGTCCTGCAGGAGTTCAGCCTCAGCTTTGGGAAGGGTGCCGTTTAGCGCTTTCAGCAGAGTTACAGTCTCTCTTCTCAGATCCTTCAGCCGCCGCTCAGACTCAGACGACGATGATATGAGCGGCGAGATCTCAGACTCGCAGTCGTTCAACAGAGCCTGTTGATGAGCACAGATTGGTCAGGAAAGAGCAGCAAGCCAAAAACAGATAAAACCATTTAGAAACATGCATTACTCACAATATAATGTGCATTCAGAAGCTCGATGGCTTTAGTGCGACGCGCGATCTGTTGCTCGTGGAGCTGTACGATAGCGGCGGACTGAGGAGACGTTAGCAGAGCCGTGAGATCCGAGAGCGCACGCGTCCTGTGCTGACGCTCCTCTGACACGAGCACCGAGTGTTTGGCTACACCGTCCTCTAGAACCCTCAGAACACACTCCAATTTCTGATGAACACATAAAATAAGATACTTCAGTACCAGAAAGTAAACATGGAAAACTACAGTCAAGTCATTTATTTATTCATCAGTATGGAGTACCACAAGGCTCAGCACTAGGACCGCTGTACATGCTACCCTTGGGAGATATCATTATGAAACATGCGACACTGATGATACTCAGCTTTACTTTATCTTTGGGGCCTGATGAAACATACCAATTAACAAAACTAAAAGAATGTACAGTTGATGTAAAAATTATGAATTGTCTAATAATTTACAACTACTTAATTCTGAAAAAAAGTTAATTATAATGAATAAGCAAGAATTCAAACACTTGATGGCTGCTGTGTCAAGTCCTCGTCATCAGTTAGGAACCTGGGTGTGCAATATTTCTATGAAAACCAAATTTCTAACATCTGTAAAAACCCAATTTTCCCAAATATATTTAAATTATGAAACGACTTCGAGCTCAACTCAGTTTAATGTTGATTCAATTCATTACAAATGTTCATAGTCATTGAATCTGAATCATTGTAGAGGGGACAATTACTCAGCTTATTTTCACAAGTTCAGAAGTGTCAATATTGCAAAAATCAATTAATTGAATCAACATTGAACTGAACTAAGCTGAATAATTGTCTTTTCTAGAGCTGCTTTACAGCTGATTTGATAGTGTCAAAATTGGATTTTTTTTATTTATATTGAACTGAACTACTATCAAATCAGCAATAAAGCAGCTCTAGAAAAGACAATAGTGCCATTATCAAGCTCAATAGTGTCAAAGTAAATCAATTATGACAGGAACAAGAAAATGGTTATTTGTGTATTTTCCGGAGTAAACGTGATTGGTGTTTGCTGGTGGCCTGTTGCCAAACACTGAACATGATCCCACCTGCAGGAACTGTTGTCGTCTTTCCACCAGATGTGACAGTCTCTGATCCCAGACCTGCTGTAGGTCGTCCTGAAGTGCGGGTGAAGCCTGTGCCGGAGCCCGAGCCGTGAGAACCAGCAGGTCCTGCAGTCGAGACTCCTCGAACGAGGCCACGTCACGCTGGACCTCCGTCTCGAAGTGAGTCCTGCAGCGCTGCGCTAGTCTCCTGTACGCCTCCTACAACAGCGAGTTTTGCTTACTTTAACAATACAGTAGTGGTGTAACGGTACACTCATGTCACGATTCGATACATATCACGATACGATATTAATGCGATACTCCAAGACATATGGTAAAAGGTTAACAAAAAATGTACTGTTGATTAAAATGTACTGTTGATTGGTTTTACATTGTGTGTGTAAATGAATAGTCTTGGACTCAGTGCTGGAAACCCAAAGCAGGACAATAGAGACACCAGAATAACAATTTTCATGATTCTGAAGCTGAAGCTGAAAATGCAAAATTATTTTAGACGAATCTGCTTGCACTCTGTCTCTGACTAGATATATTTAAAATAATGTATGACACTTTTTACTGGTAACAGACATTTGGCATTATCAGGCCCACAAATATTCACACATTACATTAAACTATTATATATAATGTATAATAATGTAGTTCTGACACTAAAACTCTAAACTATACACAATACATATTGTCACGATCCACGATACATAGTTGCATTTTTGTATTGCGATATATTGTTCAAATGAGATGTGTCTCTGCTGACTCTTACCGCAATCTTGATCAGCACGTTGTTCAGTCTAGTGGTTTTTGTTGTGTGCATCGCATGGACGTTTCTCTGCGCCGCTGGAATGAACTGGACCAGCGGATAGATCACGGCCCATTCGTCACGGTTCACGTCGTGTAACGCATCAGTGGGACGATCCACGATCAGCTGGAGCTTCGCAAAGGCCGCCTTCACATGGAAGTAAAACCTCACGTCAGATTTCTGGTCAGAGAGTCTTGAAGTTCACATGTTTCAGACTCATCAGCATTTACCTGCAGCTTCTCCTCGGACGCATCAATCTCAGAAATCAGATGTGCAGATCGGTGTTTGGACTGCGTGTTACTCTGATCCGACACGCTAGCGTTCACCTCAGTGAGAGACTGAAACACAATGACACTCGCTTTAAAAACAACAAGTTAAGATTGAAAGGGAAAGTTCAGCCAAAAATGGGACAGCATGGGAGTAAATGACTGAGTAAATTAGGCTTTTATTCATTTAAACACACAGTGCGCATTGCATATGGAAACTTGAGAGCGTCACGCGCTAGAGCAAAACTCACTGGTTAGAGGGACAAAAACATCTCAGGTTTCATAAGAAATATCTTATTTGGGGTTCAAATATTCTGTGTTTGGAACAATATGAGGGAGAGTAAATGACAGAATGTCTCATTTAAGCTTAGATCTGGTTATTCTAGGTTAGAAACACGTATCAGACTCACCAGACTGAGCGAGTGGACTTCAGACTCCAGCAGGATCTTCTGCTTCTCCAGTTGCTCTGCTTTAGACTCGATGTGTGTCAGCTGTGTGGAGAATAGCAGGGTTAACACAAACATCCGCTTACTAACCAGTGAACACGTCCCTGCACTGAAGTATGATCTACGCTCACACACACTTGAAGGGATAGTTCTACCAAAAATGAAAAACTTGTGGTTCCAAACCCGTAAGACTTATCCATCTTTATTTTAATGAGATCTGAGCGATTTCTGACACTTCATTGACAGCTACAACTACCACTTTGTCGCTTCAAAAAGTTCATAAAGCGATCTAATAGAGAGAAAAGTAATCCATATTAATTGAATATTCTGAAGTGACTCGACCGCTTTAATGATCAACAGATTGAATCGACGCACACAATCTGTTCATCATTAACCCTTGTGTTATGTTGCGGGTCAATTTGACCCGTTTCGATTTTCTAGTTGTTGGAAATACTGGTTAACCTTTGTTTTTTTTCTTGATATTTTGTGCCTTTCTCATTTATCATGATGAACATGCGTGCAAAGTTTCAACATGCTGATGTGTTTTGACATATACAAAGAAAATTACTATTACGTTCGTGATGTTCGCGGGTCAATTTGACCCTCATAGGCAGCCATTCAAAAGCAACTGTACAGACAAAATAAAAACATTTATTTTCTGTATGTAAGGGCACTTCAACTCCAGTTCTAATGTGCAAGTGCATCTAAAAGTGCTCTAACCCTAACCAAACACACTTGAAAAAGCTAAAATCACAGTGTTTAGAATTATTTGCAAATTACAGATGAAAATCTTTGTCAGACACAGATAGTAAAATAAGCTCTCATTTCATTATTCAAGATATCTAAAATACCTAGCTTTAAACCAAAACTTTTATGTAGGATTTTCAAAGGCAGCTTCACAGAGCCAAAAAATAAATAAACATTTATTTGATGTATGATTTTGTTATGTTTGGTTTCTCACTTCCCTGTGAGTGAATAATGAAACTAGGGAACTAGGTCTTAGGAAACTAGCGAAAGTTAACTTAGGAAAATGAAAAATTTTCATTATACAGCAATTTTATTGTTCAGTTACGATGTTCAAAGCATAAAAAAAAAAAAAAAAAAAAAAAATGTATATGCAAAAAAGTCAGTATACTGTTTATTTTCCAATTTTGTCAAATTGGTTTAAAAAATGGTTTAAAAACATTTTTATAAATCATATTTTCAGATATAATGTTTTTGTAATGTTTGACAAATGTTGATATTAAAAGTTTACAGTTTGTATCTAAATCTTTGTTGTTTTTCATAGTGTGATTTGAGGAATTGTATTGAATCCAATTAGGGTCAATTTGACCCGCTCCATAAAGGGTGTACACAGAATTCGAACAGTGCACAAGGGTTAAAGCGATCGAGTCTCTTCAGAAAATTTGGACTAAACCACTAAACCATGGTCTAGTTTTACGATCTCTTTATGAACTTTTTGAAGCGTCAAAGCGGTAGTTGCGCAGCGGTCATGAAGATGTACAAAAGTCTTACTGGTTTGGAACGACATGAGGGCGAGTAAACGATGAATTTTAATTTTCAGGTGAACTGACCCTTTAAAATTAAAATGTTAAAAAAGTGGGTTTTCGGAGAGATGAAATTGAAAGGTTCTTTTGACAACCAAAATAGGTTCTTCAGTGATCATAACCATTATGAACACTTCAATCTAAAGAACCTTTTTTTGCAATGGAAAGATTCCATGTTAATATTGGCACTGATGAATCCATGAAGAACCTTTAACATTTATGAGTTTATGAAATTTTGCCATTAAACATCTTTCATGATGACCTCTGACATCAGATCCAGTATGTAGAAGTGAGATTTATTGCTCTTTCCCGGCACATTAGGACCTCACCTTCTCCAGCTTTCCCTCCAGTTCTCGTCTAAGCTGATCCCTCTCTTTTGTGACGTCTCTTAAAGACTCGAGGACTTGCTCAGCGTGAGTCTTCTGGTTCTCCAGCTGATCAGTCACTCCACTGAGAGACTCGAGCTCCTCGCTCAGACGGTTTCTCTAAAGAAACAACAGATTACTTTAAAGGGGACATACCAGAACACAGTTACTCAGATTTTCATGATGAGTCTTTCTCTGAGAGCATGTCAAAAATAAGCTGATTAGATTTCGCTCCTTCTGGCGTATGAAGAGGATCTTATTGTAATATTCCCAGCCCTTAATCTGCACGTTCACACACACCAGCGACATTGGGTTCGGCGAGCGCCAACAGAGACCAGTTCTAACGCACTGGAGAAGATCCAGCAAAGCCTGAAACTGTTCTGTGGTCGAGCACAGACGACACTGAACACTATTGACCAGAACATGTCAGCGCTGTCTTATAAACACCTCAGGAACTGTGGACACTTGTGGAAGAGTTCAACATGATGAGGAGATGATCAGTGTAACTCCACAACAACTACAGAAATGTCTCCGCTAACATTCAGAAACGTGTAAAAGTGAAGCTCTCCCTGAGTCTCTCCGTAAGGCTGCACTCGCTGCTGTTACTCCTGACTCTGGATCAGTGAGATTGGCCTGTGTTGTTATTGCCGGAGTCTCTGAAGCTTGTGTGAAGGCTCCGCCCTCTTCTGAACGGAGGCGGAGCTAAAACTCATTTGCATTTAAAGGGACACACACAAACAGTGTGTTTTTGCTCACACCGAAAAAAGGGCAAATTTGACGAGCTATAATAAATGATCAGGTATTTTACACATAATAGCTGATATTTCTGGGGAAACCATAGATTTATATCTCTTTAAGAAAGGAGCCATTTTCACGGCAGTGTGAGTTTACGTGCCCAGATTAACACGCTCACCGTGTGCTCACTCTCCTGAAGATCGTGTCTCAGTTGTTCTCGCTCCTCCCTCGTTCTCCTCAGTGTCTCCAGGAGCTCATCCTTCTCTTCTGTAAGCGAGGTGAGGTTTGTTTGGAGGGTCTGGATCTCGGTGTTGTGCTGGTCTCGTACGGCACTCAAAGCCGACAGATCTTCACTCATTTGACTCAACTGAGAGGAAACAGAATAAGAGACTCAGCATTGAATCATTCACCCGTCACATCACATGTAAGGGTAGCTTTTGTGTTTTATCTTTCACCCTCTGCTGAAGCTGTGCCTCGTTCACTGCGCTCCGCTCCATCAGTTCGGCCTTCTCTTTCTGCTGCTGCTTCAGCTCCTCCTTACTCACATGGAGCAAATCCTGATACATTTTAGACTGCAGGAGAGAGTAAGAACAGTCAGTGGTGTTGAGGATCTCAGATGGTGTTACAGCGATGGCATGAGTGCTCACAGTCGCTGCCGCCTCCTGAAGGTCCTTCTGGATCCGCTCTCTCCGACTCCTCAGAGACTCCAGCTCCTCCGTCAGGGCCTGAATCTGGACAAGAGCGCAAAGAAATCGCACAACATGAGGGATGGGAATTGTGAGTGATCGAACTGGTTCCACTTTTCCCACTATTTTGATCACATTAAAGGCCCCCTGAAATCAAAATTTTAGTTTAGCTTTTAGTCTGAATATGTTAGTCTTAAGGTTATGAATAAGCTTCCAAAACAATGATAAAATTAGCATTTAGGAGATATAAGCATTCAAAACTTCTGCTTAAATGGATCACGTATTTTTATGACATCACCGCTTCTCATCACATCTTCTGTCCAATCAAACGCTCTAGAATCTGAAGCCCCGCCCCCTCTGCTATAAACACCACCTGGCCGAAGCGAGCGTTGACGCGTCACAGATCAATGTGTGTTAGAGTGTGTGTTCGGTCGCTCAAACGCTCCAGTTTTATAACGTTTTCCAACTGTCCGCTGGTTAGGAATGAAATGGCTAGAATTATTCACATCTACTGTTGAATCCAGCGATCATCAGCGCTCGGATCCGCTTCCATGGTGCTGTCAGTCTGTGAGCTAAACTAAACACTATTGGCTGTTTCCAGGAAGTTCACTTTGTTTCGAACTCCACAAAAGAACTTTGTTATTGGCTTGATCTTGTTAAAAATCACATCATGCCAGAACGTTCGGCAATTTAACGAAGTATATCGGGACCTTTATGGGAGTGAGAGCTGCTCCATTTTATTTAAATAAAAACCGGTTCTCTAGTGCAGCAGAACTCAACATGTCGTCACATGTACAGAGAACACACAGACGTTGAGCTTGTACCTGCTGAAGTTGAGCTTTGTGGCTCATGGGATCTGACTCCTGGTGTTTCTTCTGTTTGAGCTCTCCTTGGACCTGGATCAGCTGAAGAGAGAGATTTATGGAGGAAACACTTAAACGGCTTCATTCCTTCAGAAAGGCACACAACCCATCAGAGTCAGAGAATATTCATCATGAAATCAAAATGAACAATTCTTATAATATCAGTCTTTATTGTAAATGATTTGTCAGTGCATTGTAAACTAATGAACAGGTGAATGTGAGCTCTGGCGTTCTCACCGCCGTCAAAATAAACAACAAGCGCGTCTCACGGCACTTCAGTTCCTGCTGTATGAGAGCCATCCTGAAGAAAGCCCTATAGTCATGTGGTGTTACCTCTCTGACGCCCTGCAGGATCTCCTGAAGGTCTCCTCCCTCACTCAGTGATGTCACACTGACGGAGGGGCTGGATTGGTTGCATGCAGCGTCTCTCTCTGACATCAGGCGGTCTCTCTCGGCACACGCGGACAGAAGCCCTTGCCTCAACAGCTCCATCTGTGAAAACAAAAACGCTGCTTTAGTGTGTGTCCCTTTAAATGCACTTAAAGTCAGATTTTCATGACATGTCCCCTTTAATAGTCCGTAAGAGTGCGCAGGCTTTGTGTATCAAAGGGAAGCGTCTCACCATCTCACTCTTCTCCTGCTGCTCTTTCTGGATCTGCTCTCTCTCGTCTCTGAGGACCTGCAGAGACTCCAGCAGCCGGTCTCGCTCCTCAGTCAGAGCGCTAACGTTAGCTTCAGCTTCAGCCAGAGCGCTAGCTTCAGCTGTCTTTATCGCCGCTAGCGTCTCCTGCTGTTCTCTCTCGTCTCTGAGGACCTGCAGAGACTCCAGGAGCCGGTCTCGCTCCTCAGTCAGAGCGCTAACGTTAGCTTCAGCTTCAGCCAGAGCGCTAGCTTCAGCTGTCTTTATCGCCGCTAGCGTCTCCTGCTGCTCTCCGGTTCTCTCAGAAGACGACAGAAGATCCTCACGAAGCTGCAGCATCTGATGAGAGAGACGAAACGAGATCAGAAACAGAACGGCGGTTCTACAGAAGCGTTTCGGAGTTGATCTGGTGAAGACTCACGATCTGGTCCTTCTCCTCCAGGTCTCTCCTCAGCTGGTTCTTCTCCTCTCGGTTGAGCTTCAGGATCTCCAGGAGCTGCTCTCGCTCTTCACTGACGGAGGCCAGGCTGCTCTGCAACTCCTCCAGACCGCTCTCGTTCTCCTCACACAGCAGACGCTCTCGCAGCTCCACCAGCTGGGGATCATGGGGGAACATGGGGTTAACAGAGGGATTTGAACAGAGACGGGAACTGAGAGGATCTGATTCGTCGTTTTTTTTTTTTTTTTAAACACTGAACATTCGAATGCAAAATCCATGCATTCGAATGTTTGGTGTGTGAAGAGGCGTGTGAGATGAAGTAACTGACACGTTCAGTTTGTTAGCCTATCCAGTACAGCGCGGTGTGGCTACGTTGTTAATGTGAAAAGTGGCGGGAAAAGGCTTTTCCTGCTGACGAAACCCTCTCAGTTGCAGGCAAAAATCGTGCAACGACACACATGACCAAACCTGCACATCGGTCAGAGCTGAGTGTGTATGATCATCAGCTGGAAACACTGCCCACATAAAGCGCTCCGCACTCGCTCAGGTCTAGAGCGTCTGGTGTGTGTGTGTGTGTGTGGGTGTGTGTGTGTGTGTGTGTGTGTGTGTGTGTGTGTATGATCATCAGCTGGAAACACTGCCCACAGAAAGCGCTCCGCACTCGCTCAGGTCTAGAGCGTCTGGTGTGTGTGTGTGTGTGTGGGTGTGTGTGTGTGTGTGTGTGTGTGTGTGTGTGTGTGTGATCATCAGCTGGAAACACTGCCCACAGAAAGCGCTCCGCACTCGCTCAGGTCTAGAGCGTCTGGTGTGTGTGTGTGTGTGTGGGTGTGTGTGTGTGTGTGTATGATCATCAGCTGGAAACACTGCCCACAGAAAGCGCTCCGCACTCGCTCAGGTCTAGAGCGTCTGGTGTGTGTGATGATCAGTGTGTAGATGTAGTGAGTGGAACTGGAGTGTTTCTGAAGGCCAGTTTGCCGGTGTGTGTTCATGTAGTTCATTACGCTGTGTGTTGAAGTGTGTTTTCTAAGGTTACTGATGCACTTACAGTTTTATGCACTATTGTAGCCTCATTTTCCCTGAATGCACATTAAGGAAGTTATACTTTAAGAACAATTGTTTCAAAAGTTAATGCACTTTAAAAGAGAATGTCATTTCAATAAAAGATGTGATGCTGGATCTGGTTTATATTGCGCTCGCTCCCTCTTGTGGGCATAGGAGACGATACAGCACCCTTTATCCTCTAACATTAAGCATTGCCTTTAGAATTCAATTAATTTGAATTTCGCTAATATTTAAGAAATGCGAAAGTAGCTTTTCAGCCGTTTGACAGGCCTGGATGAGGGTCTCACCGTCTCGTCCTGCATCTGCCGATCTCTCTTGAGCGCCTCGCTCTCGTGTGTGAGCTGTTGAAGAGACTCCAGGAGCCGATCCCGTTCCTCAGTCACAGAGATCATCCGGTCCATGTGATCCACGTCTCCGATCCTCTCAGAGGACACTCGGTCTCTCTCGGCACACACAGACTGGAGCTCTGTCTTCAGCTGGGCCATCTGAACCAAGGGAACACATTCAAATCAGAGAGGTCGCTAATATTAACCTATGAACTTGAACCACGAATACACACCAAAAATGAATGGATTCGAGGAGTTGTGTGTAAAAGTAACAAATCCTTCCCTCGCGGATCAATTTGACCACATTAGGAATGACTGGAATGCGAGGCCACATTTGCCCACAAGAGGTCGGCAACACTTAATGTAAGATATTTAGAGCTGAATTAAAAGGGTTATGCATGAAATTGTGTTATTTTGAATTTAAAGTTGAAAGAATGTGAGGAATGTGCTTAAATTACTAATTATGTATTGATCAAATCTACTAATTTAAAAGGTAAATTGGATAAAAAAAATATTATCAAAATTAAAATAAGTTTTATATTAAATATTACAATAAAAAGTATTAAGTCTAATTTCAGGGCTTTGGGTAATGTTGCCCGGCGATGGACAGATGTGTCGGTACCGTCTGGTCTCGGTCCTGCTGTTCTCTCCTCAGGGTTTGCTGGATCTGCTCTCTCTCCTCCGTCAGCGAGGTGATGCTGGCCTTCATCTTCTCCATCTCACATGTGTGTTCAGAGAGTTTGGACTCCATGAGCGTCCGCTGAGACTCCAGCTCTAGTAAAGCGTTCTGAAGACCTTTCACCTTCTCAAGAGCTCCTCTCAGCTCATCTTGGTTTTCAATCATCTGCATTTGAAAAAGGTAAATGTATAATTAGTGCTGGGCGGTATACCGGTTCATGTGACACTGAAGACTGGAGTAATGATGCTGAAAATTCAGCTTTGATCACAGGATATAAATTACACTTTACTGTATATTCACATAGAAAACAGCTGATTTACACTGGAATAATATTTCACTGTTTTCATCCTCCTTTCTAAAACAGTGGCTCAACTGTTTTCATCTCACCATTTCCACATTGTCCTGTAGATCAGACTTCAGCTGGCTCTTCTCCGCGGTGGCGGTCTCCAGATCCTCCTTGAGCAGCTGCATCTGCGACACACGATACATAAACATCACGATAATCAGCATCTGATGCGCTCACATCAGGAGTGTGTGAAGGTCTCAGATTACCTGCTGGAGGAGTTCATCATGATGTGTGTCAATCATTGGGCCGCTGCGTTCCTGCTGAACCTGCATAAGCTGACACACACACACACACCTCACTTTAAAAGAGGACCTATTAAGCTTTACATTTATGCTTTTTGTGATCATGAAAAGCTCCCGTTCTTCTCTATATCAGTGTCAGTGTTTCTGAACTCCTGAAACGCCTCCATTGTAGTCTTGCGTTTTCAACACGTCACAACATTCCTCTTAATAATTCATGCACAGAATAAAGGGGCGGGGCCTGGTTGAGTTAGTAGTAGGGATGGACATTTTTCAAAAATATAGCATTCGAATATTCGGGCTCATAAAAATCGAATATTCGAATATTCGTTTATTTAAATGACGTTTAACGAAAAAGACGTTATTTTTTAAGTTGAATTTTTTCCCCCACGTTTTTGTCACCATTTCTGAACAAGCTTACAATTAGGCAATATACACAACAAGCTTACAATATATGTTAAAGTTTTCTTTTAGTTGAAAACATTAAACAGTAGGCCTATGTGTAAACAAAAATATAAAAAACAAAAGCATTAATAAAAGCAGTGTTTCCTCTAGGATTTTTTCCAGCCGTGGTGGCAGGCCCATTTCGCCAGGGGGAGGGGCGTGGCCCATGAGTGATATTCCCATTGGCCACGCCCCTTTATTCCATGTGTTTAAACCTCCCCTAAGTATTATAACATGAAAGGCGCCAATAAGAGCGGCAAAGCGATTATGCGCATCGCGTGCGCAGAATGATGCACTTGAAGCAACGCGAAGTCACAGCGTGCAGCGCTTCGCATTGAAAGGTTCAAAGCACAAAGCGAAGAGATTATATCTGCTTAATGTATTATATCTATGCAACAGTTTATTAAGCCTTTTCTTTTAACAGTTTTAAATTTCAGTTAACTTACAGTGCGCATGAAGAACAATTCATAGTGCTCTCTACTCTAGTGCTGTGCTGTAGTAACAGACACCCGGGAGAAAGGAATGTGATTTAGAAAGCGCTATAAACTCCAGCAAGATAAAGTAATTTTATGCAAACTATAGACCTTTATCTACAAATATAGTATAAAGGGAACATTGATCTTGAAGAGAGTGTCGTCGTGTTACTATGTGTTACTGTCGTAACCGAACGCGACGCGCTGTTTGAATGCTGAATGGAGAATGACTGAGGAGAGATGAGTTTTCATTAACTTTAACTTAACGACTTAAATATACATTTTTACCTCACATTATGCTATTGAATGACTTTAGAAGTCTTGGAATATAGTGTGAAAACTTTATGGTGCTTTACAATGTTTTGTATGCCTTTAGTGGGGCTTAACAATAACACAAACAATATCGGACCGAGAAGCTGCAGCCGTGGCGGGATGATTTTAGGTGTGGCGGCGCGCCACGGCAGAATGAATGTAGCGGAAACACTGATAAAAGCATGCTTAAGCAGCGCGAACGGGGAAAAAAACGCCTAATAAAGCAGATTGCGCCAGATATCGTACAGAACGTACACACACACTCGAGGCAGCATATGATTATCGTTTTTATATGGTTTCACGTTTTTATTGAGAAAAACAATATCCACATGCAGAGGCACCGCCAGCAATTTGTGCTCGAGTGAGAAAAGGCGCTTCGCTGACAGACGCTTCAGAGACACTAGATAACGGTGTTTTAAGTTTCTAACAGCACTAAACATGTCCCCCTCAACAAAACTTAAAGGAAGTATATGTCTCAAAATCATTTTGCTATAAGATAAGTTATCATTTCGGATCACGCGGGGTCCAGCTGCGCTTACCTGCAGTCGTGAATGCCGTGATGGACAGCCATCTTTCCTCATACGACTGTTTGGATTTCATGTGATTTCTCATTGTGTTGATGATATTATAACTCAGATTAATTCATTAATTCGATCAAAAGTAATTCCATTTAGTAAGATCGTTTTCAAGTAATTCCAAACTTCGCGAGGCAGACGACAACATTATGTGATCAAATACACACAGCTTGTTAACACACTCCACAGCGCCACCCAGTGCATTTAATTATAACTGCGAGTTAGTGCTTGGGATTTATCATGGATTCACTGCATTTACGGCCAGCAAAGCAAAGTAGTAAAATTCGAATAGTATTTTATTTTTCGAATAATAATTAGAGATCGAATATTCGAAAATTCGTGCACATCCCTAGTTAGTAGTGTGTTAAACTGGCGGTTATGGAAAGGGGCGGGACATTTCCCAAACACACTCGAAGCGCTCGACCAATCACAACACACTGCTACAGGCGACCAATCACAACACACTGCTACAGGCGACCAATCAGAGCACAGTGTGCTTTTCAGGAGGAGGGGCTTCATAGAGACAGGAAGTAAACAGAGCATTACTGACAGACTGGGAAGAGAGGAGCGGCAACAATGGAGAATATGAGGAGAATAATTAACATTCAAGCAGGAAAACCTGTTCTAGTAGAGCCTGAAAGTACACCAAGAGTTTATAAAAGGTGTTGATCCACTTCAAATGTTGACTACTGTACATGTTAAAGAGGACCTATTAAGTTTTTACAAAGTTATACATGAATTTTAAACAATACCCGTTCTTGTCTTAGGACAACTTTGATGGACTTTTTTGATCCACTTCAAATGCTGACTCCTGTATATTAATATAATGAGCAGAATTCAGTATTTACCATCCCATTACTGTCCTCCAGGTCGCTCTTGAGCTGGTCCCTCTCGTCTCTCAGGGCCTGTAGGATCTCCTGCATCTGCTCTCGCTCTTCAGTTTTGGAGATGATGGTGCGTCGCAGGTTCTCCATCTCATCCGGCTCACTCTGAACTCGCTGCATCTCAGACCGAAGCGCGTCTCTCTCGCCGCACACACACTCCAGCTCGGAGCTCAGCTGCAGCGACTGACAGGGGAAAACTGTGTTAAAACTAGGGCTGCAACAACTAATCCATAAAATAATGAAAATCAGACAACGAATGTCATTATCAATTAGTCGCTTCTGCCCACTGTGCACTTCAAGCTTCCGCCACTCGCATCAAATTACAGCACTGAATAACAGCGCTCTAGTTAAACCCCTTTCGGTCTGGTGGGAGTGTGTGTGTGTACCTTCTGCGTGGCCTCCTCCAGTACCGACAGCAGTGTGTGTGTGTGTGGTGTAAAGTGTGTGTGTACCTTCTGCGTGGCCTCCTCCAGTGCCGCCAGCAGTGTGTGCTTCGCCTGCGTCTCGAGCTGCAGGTCCGTCTGGATGTTCTGGAGGCGTTCTGAAGTCTCTGTGAGCTGTCGGGTCAGTTCTGCTTCCTTCAGCTGAGCCTCCACCAGATCGCTCTCCGTCTCCAGCAGCGGATCCACAGACACACACGTCTCACCGGCTCCTGCTCTCACACTGGACTGAGCAGATATCAGAGCGTCTCGCTCCTCTCGAGCAGAACTCAGCTCTTCTGACAGAACACACACCTGAGAAACAGCACATTTAATCTCATGCGTCACGTGCAGCTAGGGGCGTCTATATTCATTTCTATAGTTTCAGATCTCCACCTGTTCAGACGTCTCCTGAAGTTCCAACGTCAGCTGGTTCCTCTCCTCTAATAAAGTCTCAAGCTCTTTCTTTAGTGTCTGGATCTGTAGAACATGTTACAACATCAGATTAACCCGCACAAACTCTAAAGTCAGATCAAGTCAGCTTTATTTCTACAGCGCTTCACAGCACAGAGTGTTTCACAGCAGCGTTACAGAGATAACAGGAGAATAATGGAGCAAAGTGTGTTTCCAGAAGAGAAGAGCGTCTCAGTCCAGCTTAAGTAAGATCAGTGATGCTTCATTTCTGTTGTAATAAAGTTATTAATTTACTTCATATATATATATATATATATATATATATATATATATATATATATATATATATATATATATATATATATATATATATATATAGCCGCTCTGGAGAAAACCGTGATGTCATCGTCAGCTCAGCTCAGTTCTCATATAATGCTGTCAATGCAGGAGATCAATAATATTGTTGAATATTAAATTAAATCTCTAAAGGTGAAACTCGCATCATGTCAAACAGAAGTCAGTTACAGACCTGAAGCGGAGCGCTGTTCTCCTCGCTGGAATCACGTTGTTCTTGATTCAAACGCTGTTCCTGTAACTCGGACTGAACCTGCAGCATCTAAAACAAAACACTTATATTCAAGGTTTGCACGTCTGGTCAGATGCTAACTGTGTTTCATTGGCTCTGTACTTGTACTCTGCACAATGATAATAAAGTTGAATCTGAAAACACTTCCTTTCAACTTGCATTATAGATATTTCAACAGCATCGCTTGCTATCAAGGTCACAAAACTCACACTACAGAAACATTTGTTAGTGCATGTAACAAGGCCACTGTAAGCAAGTGCGGTCTCTTGTGGCCTTGTGTGAAACGTAGGGCTGGGTATCGTAACAAAATGTTCGATACCGATACCGATACCTTGACTTCGATACCGGTTCCTGAACGATACTTTTTTCGATACCAATTTTATGTAACCAGGTTTAACAATATAACATTACCTAATTTTTTTTTCAGTTTGTTGACTTTTTTACACTCATATTTTGAGTATGTAAAAAAGCACCAATGCTAAAGTTTTCTATGTTTCCTAATCATTTAACAACATGTATTCTTTACTTCAATGAGCTCATTGTTTCTGCTTTAACTTAATGCATTAATTAACGATGAAACTGAATGAAAATTAATTGAAATGCATTACACTGTCACCTCTGATAACAGATCAATCTAAATTGTAATTTAGACATCGTTTCAAAGCAGCTTTACAGAAAATGCATATGTATTGTGAAAAATGCTATACAAATAAATGTGAATTAAATTAAATATAGGCTACTGGGGGGCGGGATATATACCTGCACGTGAAGCTTGCAGCAAAGCCCTGGCAAAAGTAGCCTAATGATTATGGATGTGGAAACAATAGCAAGGAGATATTTTAATTATTTTATTAATGAACAAGTGTTTACTAATGGTGTGTTCACACCGAACGCGAATTTAATTATTTGTGCGAGTAGATTACATACATAGTCAATGCAAAGACGCGAATAGACGCATCATTCGCGCCGGGCGTCGCGAATGACGCGAATTGGGCGACGCGTTTGCCGCGAACGTCTTCCGCGCAAGTTGAAAAATTTGAACTCGAGCTGAAGATTCAAGCGTCGAACTAGACGCGATAGACGCGTATTTGACGCTCTATTCGCGTTCGATGTGAACACCATTACTCTCAAGTGTATTTTGTGCGCTTCAGTGCCTAGATTTACCGTGTTCCCGGTCTTGGCAGCAATGATCTTGTCGAAAATATTGCATCGCGTGCATCTGGCATCGAGTCTGGCACATGACATAGGTACACTTTGGATCATTTCCACATATTTTCTATCTATCTGGGTTGGGACGCACGCTTACACACACACACACACACTGCAGCCTCACGTGCGACGAGCCGCGTCTCTGGGCAGCCGCGTAAACTAGTGTTTTTCCGCCACAGCCAATCATGCTGCATGCTTATTGTTTCACTGACATTGACGAGATTAACCACTTAGGTACCGAAATGTGGTACCGAAAAACAAGACATGTTTCGATACTCGGTAGTATCGAGGCAATTCGGTCGGTACCTAAAAAGTACCGAACTCGGTACCCAGCCCTAGTGAAACGGGACCCTTTTAAGTGAACTCCTCTTGCCACACGTGTTATCTGTAGTGTAGCTGAGTGACGCTGCCTCTCACCATCTCAGTCTTCTCTTCCAGACGTGTGTGCATCTGCTGTAGGCTCTCCTGAAGCTGCTCTCTCTCCTCCGTTACAGACCTGAGATCTGCCTTCATCTTCTCCATCGCCTCAGACTGGTCATGATGGTCCGATCTCTCAGACAGCGGTCGCTCTTCTCCTGTCAGCTGCACACACACGGGACGCTTTAACGCTGAGATCAGGTGTGTGTGGATACTGGGGTGTGTGGGTTTTAGGAAAATTATCACATTTTCTACAGTCATATGTAATGTCAAACTGCCCAGCCCTTGTGGATTTCCAAGTAAGGCTGCTTGAATATGTCAAATCTGTCAAAAATATTTTGGGTCAATATTTAAATCACGATTATTTAAAACAATTGGGAATGCATCTTGATTTAAGATTTTGGTAATAATCGCCCAAGTTTTTCTTCATGATATAAATATGTATAATGATATTGGTATATAATGCTGAAAATAAGATTGCTGAGATACGGACATTTTAGATACCAGTGAAATTAGTGCTGGGCGGTATACCGGTGTTTATTATTGTTATGATATGAATTTTTAATATACCGCAATACCGGTGTATGTCGCTTGAACAACGTTGGTATTAATCATGTAGCTCTAGTATTCAGTAATGTACTAATATAGAAAGTGAAGAAAATTAAAGTAAAATAGCATTTAGTATTCACTGTCTGAATTAAACTGGTCATTCGGTCGAGAGCAGCGAGTGATTCTGTCTGCTGTGGTTTGATTGACAGATAGCAGGAGTGTATTAGGCTGCTGTCACTTTAACGTCGAACACACAGATCTAATATACAGATTTTCTCCCAACGGTTTGTGTTCACTGTAGTAATTGACTGCAATTGTATGAATGTTGAAGCTCAAAGTATACTCTGCCTCAGAACAGAGATCCACCTGGAGAAGAGCGTGAGCCGTTTAATGCATTAATAACTTTAATATCCTGCATTAGAACGCATTTTTACGACACTCATATTTTACCGATTTGGATGTTAAACTCTAGACTTTCAGGGAATAATGAAATCACATTGCTGTGAAGGAGGGGCAGGAAATACTAATCATTGGGAAACAGAATGCAGTGCAATAAATGTTTTATCTCCATTATCTTCTTTTCATAATCACTGGAAGCCAAAAATAAATGACTGGAATCGCAGGAGCTGTAATTGACGTGTACCTGATGCTCTCGGCTCTTCTGGTCCTGGTCGGGCGTCTGACCTCTCTGTGACCTCAGATCGAGTATCTCTCCCTGCAGGTCCTTCACCGTCCCCTGAGCGTCTCTCAGTTCTGCTTGAGTCTCAATCATCTGCAGCGGATAAAGCTCAGGGTTTAACCCGTGCCACTTTATGGACATTGTCTTTTTCAGGTTTTTATGGATCACTTTGCCTGTGTTAATGCCAACTGCATAAATGTTGGCACAGGTGTGTATTTTTATTGGAATTTTACTATTTAATCCCAACTTCCTTAAAATAAATAAATAAATTGCACTAGGTACAAAACATAGTTCCTCTCAGGGCCTGTTGAACAAATGTCCCCATTGAAACGGCAATTTTTAATCCCAGGGCCATTGAACTATAAAATGATGCAATTTTTGTAAATAGGCTTTCATTCTGTTGGCAAGGCTTCAAAATGTACATTTTTACTATTGTATACCAGATGGTGCCATTTTTCAGGTTTGGCCTATAAAGCAAATACTCGCTTTATTCCTGTTTTCTGCTTATGCGTATAATAGAGCCGATTGGATAGATTATGCAGCGATACTTGTGTGTTGTATGGATGTCAGTGTGGTTTGTATGCGTGTAATGAACATTTTTTGTGTGTGCTTGTAATATTTGAGAGAGAAAAACTCTGTTGGAGTTTTGCTTTATCTAATGGGGAAATCTGGTACTACACCTAACACAATCTTAGTTTTTTATATATACACTCACCGGCCACTTTATTAGGTACCCCATGCTAGTAACGGGTTGGACCCCCTTTTGCCTTCAGAACTGCCTCAATTCTTCGTGGCATAGATTCAACAAGGTGCTGGAAGCATTCCTCAGGGAGTTTGGTCCATATTGACATGATGGCATCACACAGTTGCCGCAGATTTGTCGGCTGCACATCCATGATGCGAATCTCCCGTTCCACCACATCCCAAAGATGCTCTATTGGGTTGAGATCTGGTGACTGTGGGGGCCATTTTAGTACAGTGAACTCATTGTCATGTTCAAGAAACCAATTTGAAATGATTAGAGCTTTGTGACATGGTGGAAGTAGCCATCAGAGGATGGGTACATGGTGGCCATAAAGGGATGGACATGGTCAGAAACAATGCTCAGGTAGGCCGTGGCATTTAAACGATGCCCAATTGGCACTGAGGGGCCTAAAGTGTGCCAAGAAAACATCCCCCACACCATTACACCACCACCACCAGCCTGCACAGTGGTAACAAGGCATGATGGTTCCATGTTCTCATTCTGTTTACGCAAATTCTGACTCTAACATCTGAATGTCTCAACAGAAATCGAGACTCATCAGACCAGGCAACATTTTTCCAGTCTTCAACTGTTCAATTTTGGTGAGCTCTTGCAAATTGTAGCCTCTTTTTCCTATTTGTAGTGGAGATGAGTGGTACCCGGTGGAGTCTTCTGCTGTTGTAGCCCATCCGCCTCAAGGTTGTGCGTGTTGTGGCTTCACAAATGCTTTGCTGCATACCTCGGTTGTAACGAGTGGTTATTTCAGTCACTGTTGCCCTTCTATCAGCTCGAACCAGTCTGGCCATTCTCCTCTGACCTCTGGCATCAACAAGGCATTTCCGCCCACAGAACTGCCGCTCACTGGATGTTTTTTCTTTTTCGGACCATTCTCTGTAAACCCTAGAGATGGTTGTGCGTGAAAATCCCAGTAGATTAGCAGTTTCTGAAATACTCAGACCAGCCCTTCTGGCACCAACAATCATGCCACGTTCAAAGTCACTCAAATCAACTTTCTTTCCCATACTGATGCTCGGTTTGAACTGCAGGAGATTGTCTTGACCATGTCTACATGCCTAAATGCACTGAGTTGCCGCCATGTGATTGGCTGCTTAGAAATTAAGTGTTAACGAGCAGTTGGACAGGTGTACCTAATAAAGTGGCCGGTGAGTGTATATATATATATATATTAACCTCAAATTTGTAACAACTAATTTAGATTTATGGCTTTGATTTTCTAGCAGTTGTACAGTTATAGATAAAAAGTTAGATATATTTTTTTAAACATGTTGGTTTTACTTTTTAAACTTTTTTTTACTTCAACACTAATCTGCCATGGGTCTTCTTTAAAATGAGACCACATTTAAATCTGTGGTCCCAAACCTAATTTTTATGACTGTTTTTTGTCCACTATGCACCTGTGTAACTTTTAAATGGATGCACGAGGGTTAAAGGGTCTGTAAGCCGAGCGAGATCATGTGACCTGGCGGCAGTCGTATGCGCTCACCATCTCCACATTTTCCTCCAGGTCGCTCTTGAGCTGGTCCCTCTCGTCTCTCAGGGCCTGTAGGATCTCCTGCATCTGCTCTCGCTCTTCAGTTTTGGAGATGATGGTGCGTCGCAGGTTCTCCATCTCATCCGGCTCACTCTGAACTCGCTGCATCTCAGACCGAAGCGCGTCTCTCTCGCCGCACACACACTCCAGCTCGGAGCTCAGCTGCAGCGACTGACAGGGGAAAACAGTGTTAGAACTAGGGCTGCAACAACTAATCCATAAAATAATGAAAATCAGACAACGAATGTCATAATCAATTAGTCGCTTCTGCCCACTGTGCACTTCAAGCTTCCGCCACTCGCATCAAATTACAGCACTGAATAACAGCGCTCTAGTTAAACCCCTTTCGGTCTGGTGGGAGTGTGTGTGTACCTTCTGCGTGGCCTCCTCCAGTACCGACAGCAGTGTGTGTGTGTGTGTGTGGTGTAAAGTGTGTGTGTACCTTCTGCGTGGCCTCCTCCAGTGCCGCCAGCAGTGTGTGCTTCGCCTGCGTCTCGAGCTGCAGGTCCGTCTGGATGTTCTGGAGGCGTTCTGAAGTCTCTGTGAGCTGTCGGGTCAGTTCTGCTTCCTTCAGCTGAGCCTCCACCAGATCGCTCTCCGTCTCCAGCAGCGGATCCACAGACACACACGTCTCACCGGCTCCTGCTCTCACACTGGACTGAGCAGATATCAGAGCGTCTCGCTCCTCTCGAGCAGAACGCAGCTCTTCTGACAGAACACACACCTGAGAATGAACCGTAATGGAGGAGATTTAGACATGTAGGTGCAGAGACGAGCTAAGACACCATGAGACGGTTCTCTAACCTGTGTCTGTAATTCCTCCACTTTAACAGAGAGCGTCTCGAACTCCTCCGTCTTGCTCTGCAGACGTCGCTCCCTCTCGAGACTCTGGTCAAGCTCCTTACGCACGTCACACAGCGTTTTCTCCAACACCAGATTATCGGTCAGATCTGTGAAGAGGAGGAAAGGAGGGTGAACATCAAAAGTAACAAATTACTTCCTTAAATGACAAACATACAACACTACCATGATTGAAACACTGCATGTACAAGTGTGCTAAATCTTAGAGGAATAGGTCCTCAAATGAATCCTGTCATCATTTAATCTCCCTCATGTCATTTTAAACATGTATGACGTTCATTAGTTATTTGTATTTTTTTTAAGATTGTTATTTTTTGTCCATCTATTGAAATTCAGATCAACATTTTCAAGCTTCATACAAGTAACCCATAAGAATGTGTTGCACAAATATGATACACATGGAAGCTAAACTGTGGCGCTTCCGTTTACCATATTTGATAAGCTTGTTGATCATTGTTAATATGAAAAAAAAACAAAAAAACAAGTTAAATGTATTAATCATATAAAGAGATTGCGTCTCTTCAGAAGAAATGAAATAAACCTCTTCATTCTCATGGATTAGTTTACAATATCTTTATGTGCCATTTGAAGCTTGGAAAGTTTCAATGGATGGACAAAAATGAAAGTTTATATTTTTGTTGAGGATAAATGAAAGTCTTATAGGTTTGGAATGAACTATCCCTGTGATGTTGGTTCAGTTCGCCTTCAACTGATCGTTTCGAATCATTGACAAGACGAAGTGAATGTAGACAGTAAATGCAGTCGGCTGAATCTCAGAGTGCCTCTTGCATGTTCTTTGACGGTTCTGCACCCACTTTTTGGCACTTTCCCGTCCAGCAGAGCCGTTAGTTTGGTGTTCTCGTCGAAGGCTCCCATCAGTTCCCTTTGAAGATCGGTTTGCATCTTCTTGAAGCGAGATTTCTCCAGCTCTAGCTTGTCCTGAAGCGTCTTCACCACAGCTTCCATCTTCTCATGGTCTGTGGTCAGGGTCACCTGAGCGAAGTCACATGACTCACATTAAACACTACAACACCATTTGGACTCAGTGCTGGACACCCAAAGCACAGGACAATAGAGACGCCAGAATAGCAATATTCATGATTCAGATCTGTCACTGACTAGATATATTTAAAATAATGTAGGCCACTTTTTACTAGTAACAGACATTTGGCATTATCAGGCCCACAAATATTCCCACACTGCATTATTATACATTATATAGTAGGTTAATGTACTGACATTAAAACTCTGAAAACTGAAAAAATGTTTTCATTTTGAGCAAACTATAACATATATAGTCACTACCCACAAAACATGGATGCATTTTTGTATTGTGATATATTGTGGTGATATATTGTGACAATATGTTGTTACACCCCTACTCATTACACACACAGCTCTACTCACGTCTCTCTCTTTGAGGCAGATGTTCTCGCTCCGCAGGAAGGCCCATTCCTTCTTCGTCTCCAAACTGAGAGTCTCCGCATCATCCAGAGAGCGCCTCAGACACGTCACTTCATGCACGAGATCCTTGTCGCTCTGCAGATTGCAATAAACCATAACTGAATATGAGATGCATAACACAGAGCGTTTGTAGCCACAGCAAAGCAGAGTTACCGTTTCCTAGAAAGCATGATTTTTGATTTCCCTTGTTAAGTCAATTTTGATCTAAATACACCACAATTTGATTTGTTTAAGAGAAGGAAAAAAAATCTTGTTTGTAGGGCTGCACAATCTGGCCTATATTTTATATTTATATCAATATGGCTATAAAAATAATTTTTCATCGAATTAAAATATATTGCTGTACAAAAATGTATTTAAGTGAAACCAATATAATTTTGTAAGTGACTATAAGAAAGTTACAAAACTCATAAGCTGCTCACGTGTAAATGAACAGTAATTATTTACTTAAATCGCAGTCTTTGTGATTTGATAATTACAATAAGTTGTGGAGATTTTGGTTTTACACACAGAGCCGTCAGTCTGGTCACCGTATAACGTGGAAGAATTGTGCAAAATATTGTGTTAAATATTGTGTACACAAAGTTTCTATTAAAAAGCCTATGATTATATATCAATATGGCTATAAAATAAATGATAAAAAAAAACTTACTGTATTTAAGTGAACAATATAATAATTTTGTAGTTTCAAAACTCATTAGCTGCTCACGTGTAAATAAACACGTAAATATTTACTTAATTAAATGGCAGTCTTTGTGATTTGATAGTTACAATAACAGGGTTCCTGCACACTTTTGAAAGTCAAATTTAAGGCTTTTTAAGACCTTTTTAAGACCTGAAGAAATCAAAATTAATACCGTACATTAGGGCTGTGCAGTATTGACAAAAATATATCTTGATATTTTCAACGTTTTGTTGATAATAATTAGATGATATTTTACTGATTGTGTTATAGGTTTGGTCTGTTTAGGTCTAGGTCTGTTGGGGTCTGTTGTTGACAACTGACTCACGAAGATATTCATATTTTTCATATTCTATGCAGTGGTCAGTTCACAGCAGTGACAGAAATTAATATTTTAATTAAGGGGCAATATTTGCCACCTTAAATTGATTTTTTCAGGGGCATTTTCACCTATATATGGACATTTTTTCTAAACTTATTTAGAGTTATGCATCACCTTTAATGTCAAATACTATCATTCAAATTAAATTATACAGTAATTATACAATAATACTTAATTATATAATAATCATACAGTACCACTGTTACCAGTCAAATTAAATCATTCAATCAAAATCCATCTTTGCAGTGCAGAAGTGACAGAAGCGGCATCAGAAGTGGCATTAAGGCCATCCTTAAAAATATTTTGGTTTGCAGTAACAGCAATAAAAAAAAAAAAAAGGGTCGGTAGGTAGGTCTATTTTTTTTTTTTCAAGATTCAATGTAAAAAAAAAAGGATAATTTTGGTCATGGTGATTACGTCGGTATGAATCTAAACAAATTTACATATCGTGACGTCACTGACTGGGTCTTCAACCCATGCCTTCGGGCCCACCATTGCGAACCTCATTCTGATACAGGTTATAGGCCACAAACAATTTGAAATCTTTGTCAAAAAAACATATTTATTGCATTAATTCCAGCTGCATTCATTTGGAAAAAAAAATAGGCTGAATCAAAAAAAGAAGAAAAAAAAGGAGCCACTAGATTTCCATGAAAGTGGATTTTCAGAGGGAAACAAATAAATTAAAATGACTAATCTCACCAGCGCCGCGCCGACCAATAAAACAGCGCGTTTGGCACCATTCGTTTACATTTGACCCATACTGTTACAAGCCCCCTTTCTGGTCTAGGGGCAGGAAAGGAGGGTAACAAAAAGTTGCAGGGAGAGAGTGAGAGATTTGACCCATAAACATCTGCTATTAACGGAAATCAGTGAGGTCAAATGGCTAGGCGCATTGTAGAAACTATAGGCCTATTAAGTAGTCCTGACATATTATGGAATGGTCGATTTTCTTTTGTGCTATTTAGTACATTTCGGTATGGGATGTGCTGTTTTATTGGTCAGCGCGGCGCGGCGCTGGTGAGATTAGTTCGCGCCGCGCTGACCATTGGCTGGCGCAAGCAAACACTTCTCCCTGCGCTGTCGAGTCTGTCGCGGCTCGGTCCATTGAGCCACGCAGATTACAAGTCAGCGCAGCGCGAACTCTGTAACACCGTGCCGTTTGTCCCACTTTCGGTGTGTTTGGCTTCCCACACTTATGTGTGTTTGTTTGTCAGAGCCTGCAGTTGCTGTGTGACGCGCGTTCGCGGTGGGCATATCATGACGAGCTGGATGCGCTCCGAGAAAAGGCCGTTAACATCGATTCCCTATTCTCCTATTTGACCATTAAGAATTTCGAATAATGAGCGACTAAATGTAGGCTCATATACAGACGTATTTCACAAGCAGCCGCGCCGCAGCCATCATCACCGAGCGCGAACCATTGACAGTGAATGAAACGAAGCGAACGCACAGGCCATGTGACATGCATAAACCAATGGTGTAAACATAATCATAATAGATGACGCCACGGGGTTTTATTTAAAAGAAAGAACATAGCCTACGCAATTTATATTCACAATACTTACTATAAAATAATATATATATTATTTTATTGCATTTGTGTTAGTTGTTTGAAGAGTAAAAAAAAATCGGTCGGTCTTAATGCAAGTTTACAACCGGCAAGTCGGTCGGACTAAAAGGGGAAAAAAATAAATAATTGGGTCGGTCCTAATTCGACAGGGTCGGTCGGGTTACGGCAAACAAGAATATTTTTAAGGATGGCCTAATATATTTACACTCCATTTACAACTGCATAAATAAAGGTATGAGATATATATTTTTAAATCAATATTCAATATTTAAATATGAAATGATTTCTAATTTTAACATTTTATTTAAAGGGTACTTTAAATATGAAACCGCAGCGGCAAATCACTGTCTTAATAAGTGAGTTGAGGGAGTCATTCATTCAACCGATTCGTTCAAACGGCTGATTCATTCGGGAAAGAAGCAAGTGATTCGTTCAAAACGCGGATTTCAGTCAAGAAATCATCGCTGTCGGTTGCATTGAGACTCTGCTACGTTTCATTTTGAAATTATAGTCGGCGAAATAAAGGGAAAACCAACAATATTGACAATATTGTGTCTAAAAAGTAACTCAATGTTAACTTCTTGTTAATTTAACTGTTGTATAACATAAATATCACAACTGGAATTGTGCACGGGAAAACGGCACTCTTTCTGATGTGATATTCTAATATAAGAACATAATATGATATAAATATAAGACAAAAACTAACTTGGGGACATAACAGTTACACTGCACACATCACGCAGTGAAAGCACGAGAGACAAATGCGATGTCAGCTCGCAGTGCCTCGTACATTGTTAAAACAATGATTACAATATCATAAAAGACAATACACATCGCACACCATACGCACATAAAGAATGAACTTACAACTGAACTGACATTTACGACCTTTCTTCTCCTTCTCTCCTCTCGCCTGCAGGAGACAGTTATGCTGCCGCGACTCGCGAGTGACGCGAAATGTCACGTGAACTAGCAAATCCACAAAGATAGAATAATAAATAAATAAAAATACGTACGCTAATTAGATGGTTTTAATTTGGAAAGCTTTTAGATATGTCTAAGTCAAAGTGTCATCTAAAATTTAAGACCTTTCATAAGTAAAAATAAGACTTTATAAGACTTTTTATGGCCTTAAATTTTAAAAATCTAATTTAAGACTTTTTAAGACTTTTTAAGGATCCGCGGGAACCCTGAATAAGCCACATGGAGATTTAGCTTTTATTTTGATTAGTCACACTAGCCGACGCTCTTGTCAACGTATAGTGTGGAAGAATTGTGCTAAATATTGTGTTAATAAATAGTGTAAACAATCAAAGTTCCCACTGAAAACCCTCATCAGACGACCACTAACTAACAGTTCAGCGACTCGTGACGTACAAATCTTTGAAGCTCAGCGGTCATAGCGGTCTTCTTCTGGAGCTCGGATGACATCATCGCCAGATCGGCCTGTGGAGAACAGCACGGAGTTCATAAGGACACGTTACACACGTTCGAAAGCAAATGAATAAGAAAGTGAATGTGCGCAGACCTTCAGCTGTTGGATCATTTCTTCAGATCGCTTTAAATCCTGCTTCAGTCTGGAGTTCTCGGACTCTAATTCCCTCTGTGTGAAGACAGAGAACATGTAAACGAGAGCCGGTGTACGTGAGGATAAAGCTTAGATGTGACGCGCTCTGATCACCTCGTACTCTCTCTTGCTCTCCTCCTCCAGTTTCTCGAACTCGTCTGCATCTCTCCTCTCCTCGATGTCCTTCTGCAGGGCGTCCTTGTCTTTCTGAAGTGAGTCCTTCTCTGCCTTCACACGCTCCAGGTCTGAGGTCAGCTGATCCAGCGTGTGTTTGGCCAGGTCTCGCTCGGCTATAACAGCATCCTTTACAAAATAAATAAAAAGGTGAGGTTTATTTATTAGCAGGGTTCAAACATGGCATCAAAACCCTGTCATGTGATTAGGGTTGGGAATCAAAAATCGATTCCAAATCCGGAATTGGATACTTGTTATAAAATTTTAATTTCGATTCCTTTGTGAGCATTACGACTTTAAACTTTAAGCGTGAGAGACTCTGTGTTCAGTGCAGGCGTGAGTAACTATAGAGCAGCTCTTAAAGTGACAGCGCTGATATTCCTGCTGCCGTCTCTATAACACTAATTACACTATTTGTAATGTATATTTTATTTATAAAGTGCAGTGTCATTTTATATTTGATTACAGTTTCTGAACCTGAAAATCTTAAGAGTTTATTTCAATCGTATCTTTGTTTAGTTGTATCTACCCATTGCGATTGCTAATTTTTTATTTGTTCTTTTTTAATTACCGAGTGTTTGTTGTCTTTAATAATGCTTTACATTTATATTAGTTAGGCTATAGTTGTTTTCTATGGTGTTTTTAAACCACAGGCAACCGTTCCTTGTGCAAGTGTCGATTTCTGTTTATGATATTCAGCTACAATTAAACGTTTTGACTAAATGTGAAAAATATACAAGTTCTTTTTTTTATACCTTATTGGAATCAAAATTAGAAATTGATAAGAATCGGAATTGTAAAGATTCAAACGATACCCAACCCTACATATGATGCATTTCCAAAGGAAAAAGAACATTCAACAAGCCAAAAAAATTGCATGTTTACTCACTTTCTCAAACCCAACAGTCTCACAGAGCTGAATGGCCTCTTCCAGATCTCTCTTCAGCTGAACACACACCCATAACACAATCAATAATAGAGAGTAGTGTTGTCACGGTCCCAAAATTTCAGCATTCGGTACCAATACCAGTGAAAATCCACGGTTCTCGGTACCAATTTCGGTACCAAAGCTTAATTTAGATAAAATTTACATATATTAAAGTGTATATCACAGTTACAAAGATGGAAACTGTAGTATTAAAAACACTTTACAATAAGATTCTATTTGTTAGATAACATTAGATAAAATGACCAAACAATAAACCATAGTTATATACTGTAGCAATTATTCTCCTTAGGGTTAATTTAAAAATATACTAATACATTTTTAAAATCAAAAGTTTTATCTGTTAAAATTATTTAATGCACAATGAATGAAGTGAACAAACATGAACAATCAAGTGTTTGTATTAAATAACATTCACAAACATTAATTAATGTTGTAAAAATTAGGGCTGCAACAACTAATCAATAAAATCGATAATAATCGATTATGAAAATCGTTGTCAACGAATGTCATTATCGATTAGTTGGTCTGCTTACGTCACGGGGAGGGTTTACTGGTGATTGGGTGAAATCGGCCAATCAGGATGCTCTCTGTCTTACACGCGCTTCATGAGGCACACACGCACACACACGCAAGGTCTCTCTCCCTCCGTTGCTCTGCCGCGCGCTCGCGCTACACGGTTTGGAGCACAGTCTCTTCTGTCTCGCATGCGCGCTCAAATCCCGGGAGTTTGAACTAATTTGCGAGCCGCTATCAATATGCGGGTGACTTCCAGAACTTCCGGGAGACTTGGGATGTCTGTATTTTGCGTCTCGAGCATCAGGTTGCGCAATCAGTTCGCTCGCAACATAAGTGATGGATTAAAATAGCGCTACCGCAGAAATATTAAATTAAAACGGTCTTTACAAAGCAAAGCACTAAATATAAAGGCAGTTAATAACAGCAGCAGTAAATTATTGTTTTTTAGTCACTGTACTCAGTGGTTTTCAGCGAATGTTGGTGCACTAATGCATCATTTTTCCTGTCTTTTTAATCAAGCCTGTTAGCTTGCTGCGTACCTCCATTACGTTCTCTTTATATAGCATTTGTCTACTATTAAGTTTTAATTGTTTTTCAAACGCGATCTACTGCGGCTCTATGTTCACACGCTTGTTTTCAGTCTTTCTATATTTATTTTTACAAATTATCCTTATAATTCAATTCATTTCAAATAAAAATTAAATTAATTATATATTTGAGATGTTTTTAGTTTATATCTTCACATCTGAACTTGCCATTGCCATCAGCAATTATCATTAAAAACAATGCAAATATTGATATTTGTAAAACTCAATGTGTGGCTTTTGCACTTTTTAAAGTACACTTTTACACATAAATATCCTAATTTAGGGTTTTAGGTAACACTTTATTTTACGATGTGTCCTTGTTACATATGTTACATGTACTTACTGTAGTAATAACAGTAAATTATGCATAATTACATGCAACTAACCCTCAACCTAATCCTACCCTATTCCTATAGTAAGTACATGTAGTATTACTCTGTACTTAAATATAATTACACTGTAACAAGGACACCTTAAAATAAAGTGTAACCGGGTTTTATTTAGTCATAATAAACAAAAAATCTAATTGAATGTTTTACCCGATTAATAGAAAAAATAATCGTCCGATTAATCGATTATCAAAATAATCGTTAGTTGCAGCCCTAGTAAAAATATATTGTTCACTCAATGTGTTGATGTTAACACATTAAGTAATGTTAATGAATGGTATCCTATTGTAGTGTTACCAAACTATACAGGAGATAAAACATGTTTTATTTGACTTAACTGTAGCCTACTTTTATTTAATCCAAAACTGCCAAAAATGTCACTTGCCTGTCTTCAAAACTTGAGAACCCTGTAGCTGATTTCTAATGCAAGGGCTAGAAATCAATTAATTCTTTGCTGATACTTCCTCGTCATCACGGAGAGCGCAGTTTGCACCGCTTTCTCCTTCTCTCCACAAGCGCTCGCTCTCGCGTGTCTCCGCTATGCAACCATAAACAGTGACGCGCCTGGAAAAACAAGCTCGCACGTCGCTTCTATTATGAGCGCGCTTCCCGCGCGCCTACATTTGAAATTTGCACGCGCAAAAAACGTGCTATGTGAACGGCCCTTTATGGCAACGTGACATTAGCCTAATTCAACATATTTCCATATGTGGCTCTTTCCTCCTTTCTTGTCAACAAGTGGATTCAGAGCCAGCGCATTAGCAGCGCCACGGGTCGCCATGTCTCAGTGTTTTTATGAAGAGGACGCAACTCTGCACCTTTCGGACAGCGCATCAAGAACCGGATTGACCCGGTACTCGGTACCTAGAAAAGCTGGTACCATAACCGTTAATTTTTTTTGTACCGACTTGGTACCGAAGTACCGAGTTTTTTGACAACACTAATAGAGAGAAAACCCCATCACTGCAGAAGGGGATACGCATTAGCCTTGCTACGATAGCCTGTGTTCAGAAGCAACACCAGTTACATCTCTCGCCCACCGCGGCACCGTCGATTTGATTTATTTTAATAAAAACATTTAGTTCACTACAATTAAACTGAACGTGTCTGTGAGCTGTAAGAGAGTCGCAGCACAGATCAGCAACAGGAGTCAGACTTCATTAATCACGAGAGTGAGGAGCTGACAAGACGATGATGGAATATTTGGTGTCAAAGCAAAGCGAATTCGTCATTGTACCGTTTTGTTGTGTTTTTCATTAAGAATAATGGGCTAATAAACTAATTTTACTTTTGCCATCAAATTAGCGAAATAAAAGCCCCCGCCGGTGATACTGGTGTTGTCACACGCTGATGAAAATATCCTCACCGTCACATCTCTAATACGCATAAAACGCAAGTGCATTGTGGGGACTAGAGCTGGGGTCGTACCTGTTCACAGGTGTTCTGTGAGCGAAGGAGGGCTTCTGAAGGCTTCTCCAGCTCTGCCAGCTTCAGCTCCAGTGCGACGCTCTTCTCCTCAGCTCTCCGTCTCTCCTGAACCTGCGCCTCCAGGCGCCGCTGCAGCTCCTCCAGCTCAGAGAGGGTCTGGTCCTGTCCTGACGGCGTGGATCGAGCCTCCAGCTTGTCCTCCAGCTCAGAGACCTTCAGCTGGAGCTCAGCGCTCATCTCCTCTGCTCTGCATTTGCTCTGAGTCTCGGCGTCCAGCTGGCGCTCCAGAGACGCCACCTTCACCATGAGCTCGTTCGCTCGGGGAGAGTCGAGGAAATTAGCCCTGAACACAGAGGACACATTATAGAAACATGCATTTATGCTGCAGAAAAGCATGTGAGCACTTCTGCTAGCGCTGCACGATTAAATCGCACTTTAATGGAGTGGGCTTATGGCGAGTATGAAGTGGCGATGCTGTGATTGTCAGTTATGTGCAGCGTGTCAGTGAAGCACGGCTCAGGAAACACGGCTCACTCTGAAAGCACCGCGAGTTCCAGTCGCTTATAACGAGCATTTGAAAAAGCAACAGATCAAACATCTTTCCAGACATGAGACGCATTTACGAACCTCTTGTGCAACAAAAGACGACATTTAATAACACGCTTTTACTCCAAACTCACTTCATCAGGACAGCTGAGCTCGTCCTCCTGTGAGATGATGCGCTTCTCACACAGAAGATTGAAATGCTTTGATTAAACAAGACTAATAAACACACGACTGCCTTATTCTGTTTATTCAGCTACAGTATGATTTAGCTAGTCTGATGCCTGATGGGGGTTTCCTGGAATGTTGCGTGTTATCATACTTCTGCAGCAGGGCATATGTGGTGTGTGTGAGACGCCCTCTGGTGTGTGTGTGTATGTGTTTGTGTGTGTGAGAAACCCTCTGGCGTTCAGATGTTACATTTACTACCAGGGTATCTGCACACTTTTTAAAGTCAAATTTAAGGCTTTTTAAGACCTTTTTAAGACCTGAAGAAATCAAAATTAATACCTTACATTAGGGGTGCGCAATATTGAAAAAAAAATGTCTCAATATTTTCAAAGTTTTGTTGATGATAATTAGATGATATTTTACTGATTGTGTTTGTGTACTGGTACCATGGCTGGTTTAGGCCTGTTGTTGACAGCTGACTCACAAAGATATTCATATTTTTCATATTCTATGCAGTGGTCAGTTCACAGCAGTGAAAGGAATTAAAATTTTTTTATTAAAGGGCAATATTTGCAACCTTAAATTGAGTTCCAGGGGCATTTTCACCCATATATGGACTTTTTTTTTTTTTTTTACTTAGAGGTATGCATCACCTTTTATGTCAAATTCTAACATTCAAATTAAATTATATTAGAATAATAACACAATACCACTGTTACCAGTTATATTAAATCATTAAATCAAAATCCATCTTTGCAGTGCAGAGGAGGCAGAAGCAGCATCAGAACTGGCATTAATATATTAATACTCCATTTACAATTGCATAAATAAAGCTATGATATATTCAATTCTTTCAATTCTTAATTCAATATTTAAATATGAACTGATTTCTAATTGTAACATTTTAATTACAGGGTACTTTAAATGTGAAACTAAACCCGCCAGTAGGCGGCGGCAAGTCACTGTCTCAGGGAGTCATTCATTCAAACGATTTGTTCAAACGGCTGATTCATTCAGGAACTGCAAGTGATTGTTCATTGAATCGTTAAAATGATTCGTTCAAAATGCAGATTTCAGTCAAGAAATCATCGCTGTCTTTTGCATTGAGACTCTGCTACGGTTTCATTTTGAAATTCTCGTCAGCGAAATAAAGGGAAAACAAACAATATTGACAATATTGTTTATAAAATGTAACAATGTTAATTTAACTGTTATATAAAATAAATATCATATTTGCTATTGTGCACGGGAAAACAGCCCTCTTGCTGATGTAATATTGTATGATAACAACATATGATATATAAAATACAAAAACTTTATACGTCTATTAGGGAACATACCTATAACTGCACTGACACATCACGCAGTGAAAGCAAGCATGAGAGACAAATGCGATGTCAGCTCGCAGTGCGCCCTCGTACATAGTTAACGTTAAAGTAAAACAATGATTACAATATCATAATAGACAATACACATCGCACACCACTACGCACATAAAGAATGAACTTACAATTGAACTGAAATTAACCAGCTTTCTTCTCCTCTCCTGCTGTTTCGCGTGCAGGAGACAGACGTAATGCTGGCGCGAAATGTCACGCGAAATGTCACGTGAACGAGCATATCCACAAAGAACGAATAGTAAATAAAAAAGTACGTTAATTAGATAGTTTTAATTTGGAAAACATTTAGATATGTCTAACTCAAATTGCCATCGAAAATTTAAGACCTTTCATAAGTCAAAATAAGACTTTTTAAGGCCATAAATTTTTAAAATCTAATTTAAGACTTTTTAAGGACCCGCGGATACCCTGAATATGTATCATGGATAGGTTACCCAAAGGAAAAATTACTGTGAGAGAAAAAAAATGTGAGTTTTAGTGTCAGTACTACATTATATTCAACATTATATATAGAAATTTAATGTATAATAATGTAATGTGGGAGTACTTGTGGGCCTGATAATGTCAAATGTCTGATGTTACCAGTAAAAAAGTGTCCTACATCATTTTAAATATATCTAGTCAGAGACAGAGTGCAAACATATTCGTCTAAAATAATTGTGTTTTCATCTTCAGAATCATGAATATTGTTATTCTGGTGTCTCTATTGTCCTGCTTTGGGTTTCCAGCACTGAGTCCAAGACTATTCATTTACACACAATGTAACACCAAATTTAGCATTTTAATCAGCAGTTTATTATTTGTTAACTTTTTATCATATGTCTTGGAGTATCTCATTAATATCGTATTGTGAGTCCAGTATCGTGACATGAGGGTCTCGTTACACCCTTAAACAGTTACAAATTAAGTCAGCAACAGTGAGAAATGCAACTCTAATGGCAAACAATGCAATGCATATTTTATTGCATTTCTGCTCAAATAAAATATAATAATGCATGGAAACGTTTTTTCAGAAAACATTTAAATTCAAAAACTCTTAGCAGTAAACAAAACCAGGTAAACAATTCAAGCCGATTTAAACGCCCCATCAGAGTGTAAAAGCAGTGTTGATATTGATAATGGTTCTCACCCCCCCTCCGAGGAGCTGCGGACCGTGATGCTGCTCATCTCCATGTCCATGTTGGGTTCATCCATAGCAGTGAAGTCGAAGCGGCTGTCGAACTCATCCATATCTGCACACAACACCACACACTTTATCTAGTGACGGACACACAAATCTTCACAGAATGTTCAATCTATTGGCTTGACCGGAATTCAGCGTTGCATTTTTAATGCGAGTTAAAAAATAATTATTTGAAATGAGCCTGTCTTAAGATGGACCGGTGGTTTGCGTTGCCATCATATATCAAATTAATTGTTATAATTAAGCAAAAGGCATAAAAATGTATAATCTTTTAAGACAAGAGGGATTTAAGAAGTTGAAGGTTATCCTAACTTCAAGTAATTTTTTGTTCAACTTGTATATTTAAAGGATACAAGTTTTGAATTACTCAGACTGAGGAAAACTGCTTCGCTGCGACTGCAGAATCATTTTCGAATGCAAGTAAGTTTCTCAAGTGTTAAGATACTCATACCCTCTCCCTCTTCAGGCAGAGAGCAGTCGGCTCTCCTCTTCTTGATGTACGGCTCAGCGAAGCTCATGTCAGTCGAGCCGAAGTCTTCCTCCAGCAGATGTGCAGATCTCAGCAGTTTCCCCCCCCACGTCACTCTCCGCTTGGGAACCTGTGCGTTTAAATGCAGCAATCAGATCCGTGGACTTCACTGACACTGAGGAGTTACGATTAGGGTTGGGAATTAAAAAAATACGAGGTCAGGAATCGGATACTTGTCATAAAATTAAAATTTCGGTTCCTCTTATCGATTCCTTTGTGAGCATTTCAATGAGTTTTCACACAGAAAGTGATTTTAAACCATTCAAGCGCGAGACGGATCGCTGTGTTCAGTGTCGCAGGCGTGAGTAACTATAGAGCAGCTCTTAAAGTGACAGGGCTAATATTCCTGCCGTCTCTATCATAACACTAATCACACAAAACAAGACAGAGAAAACTCACTCGTTCTTCACTGAATAACTTTTGTAACCATTTAAAATGTACATTTTATTTATAGAGTGCAGTGTTAGCTATATATTGTTCTCTATGGTATTTTTAAACCATGCAAACATTCCTTGCTTAAGTGTTCTTTAGCCTGTTGATTTTTGTTCATGATATTAAGGTACAATTAAATGTTTTGCAATAAAACTAAATGTGAACGATATCCAAGTTTTTTGTTTTTTTTGCCTTATTGGAATCGAAATTAGGAACGATAATTCAAACGATACCCAAGCCTAGTTACGACTAGTGAAATCGGTCACCTTCGGGATCAGGGCGCAGTTTGAGGCAGTAACTAGCAACTTGGTCAAGTTCTTGATCCGGTCCTGCTGATCTCTCTGGAGCTGGTCTTTCTCTTGCAGGAGCTGACACAGCGACTCTCGCTCGGTTTCAGTCGTTTGAGTGACAGAGGACACCTGTGAGAGGAGATGGGAAAGATCGTGTTATTACCTTTATTCTAGAGCTGCTGTAATCTCCTGTTATCACTGTAAAGCTGCTGTGAAACATCTGTATTGCTAAAGCGCTGTATAGATGGAGACTTGACTTACCTCTTGCAGACGGCGTCTAAGATCAACAATCTCGTTGCGGTATCTTTTCAGGAGCGCGCCTTCATCAGAGACCTCCGTGACGTGAGGGTCGTTCTTCATGCGCTTCGCAGCACTCGCAAACTTTAAATCACAGTAAAAACACAGATGAGTTAAACATCTCCCCGTAGCAGAGCAAAGCAGCGTGTGGTCCTCGTACCTGTAGAGTGCTGACGGTCTCGTCCACAGTGGCGGGCGTGATGGTGCAAATAATCACAGTTTTTGCATTTCCACCCAAAGAGTTCTGCAGGATTCGGGTCAGTTTACTGTCTCTGTAATTCACGAAGCCCCTTTTGGAGGGAATGGAAACGAGACGTTATGGTTTGCTACGGTTTGCTGCCAAAAACAGGGTGAAAGTCACGAAATAACTCACTTCTGACTCTCATCGGATAACTTCTTAATGACTTGACCCAGTATGAACAGACTGCGGTTTATGTTGCACCCTTCTTTTAACCGAGCTCCTGAAACAAGAGAGAGCTTTTAACACACAAATTCATTAAATAAATGTTATATTTTAAGCTTTTCGTAAATTAGGGATGCACCGATACCACTTTTTTCAGAATCGATCCGATACCAAAAATTCTGAGTATCGACCGATCCCCGATACCGATCCGATACCAGCGCAGTTTTTTTTTTAATCAAGTAGAATTTTTATAACTCTGTGTGTTGAACTGATAAACACTCTTTTGTGTATTAAACACAATCTACTTAATATAGACAACTTCATTATAAAGAAAAACAAATCAAAATATATGATCATAATCTATGACAAAAATGCTATTATAAACTAGATTAGTGGATAATTCAGCAGTAAAATGTAATCTATAAAAATCAAGAGTGCAGAGTATACTTGTATAAAATCTGAACATTAGTGAAAAAAAACATTTAGTGGGGAACAAATAAGAGACAATAAGTGTAACACTAAATCTGATAAAACGTTACACATTGCTCTTTGTATTGTTGTAAAATATATTCATGAAAAACAAGATAACAAAAATCAAAAAGATAAATTATTTTATATATAGCCTAAAATTGAGACATGTTTTAAATGTATAGCACAGCTGTTTAATGAGGCAGGAACATATGATAGATAGGACAGAACAAGAAAGGCTATTAATAATCTTTCATTGCGTCACTGTATTATGATATGAAAGGCTCCAATACATTGCGGCACACAGCGCTTATGCGCATCCCGAGCGCAGAATGATGCGCTTGAAGCAACATGAGTCACAGCGCGCGTCGAGTGCGCATTGAAAAGTTCAAAGCACAAAGGAAATACATATTGATGCGTAGTGTATAATACAGTATCTATCTATGCAATCGTTTATTGAGCCTTTTCTTTTAATAGTTTTAAATTTCAGTTACTGTGCGCGTGAAGAACAGTTATAGTGCTCTACTGTACTCCATTGTTGTGATCTAAGAGACACCTGACCCGGTAGAAAGTAACATGATTAAGTTACAGCAATAAAGTCCAGCAAGATAAAATTGTTTTATGCAAAACCATAGACCTTTATCTACAGATCAAGTATAATAATAGTAACATTGAATCATCTTGTTCTCGTGTTGACTGTAGTAACCGAACGCGACGCGCTGTTTGAATGCTGAATGAAGAATGATTGACAGATTGACGGATGGAAAAGTTTACGTGATCTTGAATTTAATGACTTAAATATTCATGTCTATCTCACATTATAATATATAATGGCTTCAGAACACTTATAATATAGTGCACGAAAACTTTATGGTGCTTTATAATGTTTTTGTGCCTTTTGTTGGGCTTAACAATAACACAGAATATATACGCACAATATCGGATTTGGATCGGCCTCTTCTGAACGATACCCGATCCGGCAAAAATGGCAGTATCGACCCCGATACCCGATACAAATATCGGATCGGTGCATCCCTATCGTAAATGGCTCAAACTTTGGCTGTATATGCTCATGTGTGACCAGGAACAGTTCTATGCCACTTACCTGCTGTGAAAATACTAGATTTTATGCTTGGAAAATATACATTTGGATATTTATTTAGGCATTATACAAGAATTATTTGTCAAGTTTTTTTTTTTTTATCATTGTGAAGCATATTTTTGCAATAATGCTCACAGACATTGACTCCCACTCATTTCACTCAATGTCTGTGTAAGTGTCTGTGCTTACATGTGAGCGAGTGAGTGAGTTAGTAAGTGTGTGTGCTTGCATGCGAGTGTGAGTGAGTGAGTGTAAGTGAATGTGTGTCTGTGTGCGAGTGTTAATCTTCTGCACTCAGAATGTTTCTTTAATGACTATTTGTGCCGTGCCGTTCAAAATACACAATATTTCTGACTGTTACGATAGTACCCGTTATGCGATTTTGACTCTTAGAACGGTCAGAATACATCTTGCATCCCGACCAATCATCACTTGCTCTCATTAACGGTGTGATCTCATCAAGAAGGCGGAACTAGCGACTGACTTCCAGAAAGAAGAGCGTAAACAAACGATGGCTACCGAAGTGGCGTGTTATGGACTGGCCGTCTTGTCGTCAGAAAAGCCACAAGAAAGAAATAGTTGTTTTGTGGAGATTTGGCGTTTATGATGTTTCCTCGAGGGACTGCCATGACAGACGCGTCAGCTGGAAACGGCTTTAACTAGCAAATCATATTCTCCTTCGTTATAGAGAAAACTTAGAGACGTATACATAACCAAACGTGCCAGATTTGTAATCTCCACCGGTTCGCCATGTTTGAAAGCGGCGTAGGGAAGAGCTTCTGTGCTCCTATTGGTCACAGATGTGACGGAACCTGTCATGGAGGACCGGGATTAATTAAACATGCTAGTCTTTATGTCGGGACATTGTGAAGCGCCGCGTCAGTTGTTGTCCACTATACGAGACAAAAAGATCGTTTCTTGCATCCCGACGGTCACTGTCGTTTGCGAATCATCACGACCGTGAAATCGTGTAGTTTGACCATTTAATGAAGTCCATTTTCCTGTTCCAAAACAAGCAACAGACTAAAAGAACGAACAGTAAAACACAATGATTACCCTCAGCTCCCGTCTGACTCGCCCGCTCAGCTCCGGCAAGATCCACCAAGTTCTGCAGAAACGGGAAACAACAGACTGATAAACGTGATAAACGCTGCTCATCCAAATGACGTCAGTGAAATCACACAGAAGGTTGGTGTTTGTTTTGAGCTCACCAGATGTGACACAATGATGGCTCCATCAGCGTTCTCCCCAGACGCCGGATCGCTTCGGTCACGGCTCTCCAGGATCTGACACGGAGAACACAAACCAGATGAACTTAGAGTCCAAATAAACCAGATTCCAAACACACTCCAGTTCGTATCGCCTCTTACCATGCGGAAAATGGTGTGAGAGCGGCTGCTGCGCTGGTTCATTTTAGTTTTCCCATAATGCCGGTTTTCTGTATGAATCAAGTGAGGGTCAGATAAGCACCGCAGTACAGCAGAATAAAGAACGAGCGAGTGAGTGATTCAATGAGAGCAGCTTTACTTTCTCCTTTGGTGATCCAGGACAGGGCTTGTTCCGGAGACGTCACCATCTCTTCGGTCAGATCGGCCACGTACACGTTTTTCTGTGGACAGTCAGTGGGTTAAAGGGACAGTTCACACAAACATTTAAATTAGGCCATGATTTACTCGCCCTCAAGCCATGTGTATCACGTTCTTCTTTCAGACGAAGACAATCGGAGTTATATCAAAAGTGTCCTGGTTCTTCCAAGCTGTAGACGTCCATAAAAGTGCATCTATCCATCATAAACGAACTCCACAGGCTCCGGGGGTTAATAAAGGCATGGACAGATGCACTATTATGATGGACAGATGCACTTTAAAACAGAAACAGCCATTCACTGCCATTATAAAGCTTGGAAGAACCAGGACTTTCATATTTGGTTGAATTACCCCTTTAAGATCTGAAACTACTCTCGCATCTGTGTACGAGTCCAACCAAACACTCACATAGTTCCCTTCCCGGATCTCCAGAGGCCTTCTTTTCCAGCTGTCGCAGAGCAGATCTGTGACCGTCTCGTTGTAGATCTCCATATAACTCACGCGCAGGAGAAACTCCTTCTTCGGAAACTGGAAAAAGACGCAAAGAAATAAAGCTATTAAATGCTCACTGCCAGAAAAGGCATTGGTTAATGAACCATTAACAAACGTACAAGACAGACGTACTGAAATCAACTACTCAACTACAACGATTCACCCCAAAATCCCAATGCCGTCATTTGTGAGGGAAAAGACTGAAACGTAAAGCACTGTAAAACAGTTCCGATCTCAAAAGTGGCGGTAAAACAGGAAACTACAATCAGAGATCTCACTTATCAAACAATATCTTTCAAATGATAAAAAAAAAGTTAAATAAACAAATGAAAATAAATGAATAAAACAAAATGGTACTAATAAAGTGCAGCACATGCAGTGACTGTGGAAACTTTAACCTTTGAAAGGATACAATGTCAAAGATAGTTTCCTTATTCAAACTGATTATTTTTCTCATGAATATTTGATTGATGAAGATTAAAGCTGTATCATATACTGGGATATTTATATGAGCAATATTACACTCATAGCCAGGAGAAATGCCTCTATATCAGACGGGCTGCAGTGTTCATTTTGCGTGAAAATATTGATAAAATTAAACATCTATTGTCTTTCAATAACTCAAGCACTTTTCAAGTACCTTTCATGGGTTTTCCAGGTCTTCAATTTCAAAAAGTCAAATTCAAGTACATTTTTGCACTTACATTTTTGATAGTTTTGAAGACGTCGGCCATGGCGAGAGGAATCACTCCAGGGTTGTGCTCGCTTCCCATCATGGAGAAAGTCTTTCCGGATGACGTCTGTCCATAGGCAAATATCGTGCCTGAAAATAGAAGATGATGCATTAAGACTTTGAGTAAGTGCAGAACACACCTCTATACTACGCCTGTGTGCATTATGTTCATGCATTTTTATTTCCTGTAATTGATATTGCACCATGTCTTAAAGGATTAGTTCATTCCAGGATTCTTCTCCAAGTAGTGGACTTCAATAGAGTAAACAAAAATAAAAATGTATATACTTTATAACCATAAACGCTTGTCTTGCACTAGTTGTGATGCGACACACATTACGCAATCAGGTTGAAAGGTCACGTGTGTTCCGGTTCAAAAAATGTAGAGTAGAGCGAAAAACTCACTCATTTTCAGGACATTTTAATTCTGAAGTGAACTACTCCTTTGAGCTCAGAGGGATCAGCCAATCTGATGAACTACAGGACAAATGTTCACGTTAGATGTTCTGGCCTCACCGTTATAGCCTTCGACTGCAGACACGACCAGGGGCTTGGCGATGTCCTGGTAGAGCTGAGCGGTGGTCTCTGCAGCGCTGAACACTCGGTCTGAAACACACACACACACACGAGGGTCAGAACACACACACACACGAGGGTCAGAACACACACACCACTGCGATCACTGGAGCTCAACTCACCGAAGCTGAAGCTCTTGGTTGGAGCGCCATCTTCGTCCAGCTGATGGATGGCCTGTTTATCGGCTCTCCAGAAGAGCTGCACTGGCTCTGAACTCTCAGACTCCTCCCTGAAGGCATCAGGATTATCATTACATTGATGTCAAAACACTGAAAATCAACTTTAAACATGGAATAAACGAGCTGTGTGGAGACTGACAGACTGCCGCTCGTTGTAAAACCTTGTAACCACACCATTGACTAACGTTACCATAGTAGAAAAAAAAAAATACTATGGAAGTCAATGGGGTAACATTACATCAACTTATTGGTTACATACATTCTTCAAAATATCTTCTTTTGTGTTCAGCAGAAGAAAGAAATTCATACAGGTTTGGAAAAACTTGAGGGTGACTGAGTAAATGACATTATTTTCATTTTGATGTGACCTAACGTTATTCCTTGAAGACTAGTCATAACTTTGTCAGATACATAAAGCAGATAGTATGGTATAACGTTAGTTTGAACCTATGATTAACGTTACCAGCTAACGTTAGTTGGTCAGATTAGTATGAAAGCTTGTTTCCACCAATACAAAATAAAAAAGGGTAACTGGGACTTTTTTTCTCGCAATTGCGTGATATAAACTCACAATTGTGTCTTTTTTTTCCCTTTCTCAGAATTTGACTTTATAATCTCACAATTTTGAAATAAAGTCAAAACTGCGAGATATAAACTCGCAATTGAAAGATAAAAAGTCGCAATTATCTTTTAAAATGTTTTATTCAGTGGCGGACACAAGCTTCCATGGATTAACGTAACGTTAACAGTCTGGCCACTGGTAAACCAGCGAAATATGTAACGTTAGATATATTATTAATGAATTGTTCATAATACGTTTTTAGAACACGATTAACTTATCTCAGAAATATTATACAGCAAAAACACCCTTTGCTAACGTTACTGATTTATAATTATGTCATTAGCTAAAGACTGTTGTTCACTCATCCGCAGTGAATCCCTCAGCAATAGCTGCTACCTCTAGACTGTTTTTGAAGTCAAATTCACCTCCATACTGTAAATATTGATATTTTCTTACCTTTTAATAAGGGGTCTGACCCTAACGCAAACTTTTACAGCGGATTCTTCTGTCATTTTCGCTCCATCCATTAACGATAAACCGCGGCGCTACTGAAACTAACTGACTGACTGACTGAGCGCATTTGAAATTTTAACCGACTTTCCATTGGACGATCTGTGCGCATGCGCGGATCAACGGCCGCCCTCATTGGTCGCTGAAATAGCAAAAAAACATTTCCGTTGAGTTTCCTGTGGAGTGCAGTGAGCGAGACTCCGCCCATGTGTTTTTAAACGAGCCTCATGATATTACTTTTACTCAGTCGTGGAAAGTTGTGTAATTATACAATTTATTCATTACATTTCATTGGTTTAATACTTTAGAATGTCACCTTTTCAATTTTTGTTGTTTATTTCAGAAGTGTTTTACTGCTTAAATATATATCATAATACATTTTGAATAGAGATAGTATTAATTTTCACACATGAGCTCGTGTTATATGTGTTAAATTAACTTTTGGGGGACAGTATAAGTGCTGAAATATTCAATAGCCTTTTATTTAAGACTTTAGCTTTGTGTCTATACAGAAACTGACTTTTAAAAATAAAACCACCTAGAGAAATATTCACTGGAGTAAACAGTGTGACAACTAGCCCCGGGCTAGCCAACTAAACTCCAATATCCCGCATTACAAAAATATGTTCTAACATTTTCTCGCTAACGTTCCCGTTCAGTTATGGAAACGTTATTTCTGAATGTAAAAATGTTTTTAAGACGTTGTTTGCAAACATATTTAGTTTTTTAAAATGTAATGTTTAAATATGCCAATGGTGCGTTATCTAATTAAATATGCATATATTTCTACAACAAAGAAAAGGTTCAAAATTCTTGTTTAATTTTATACATATATTAGAGTCAAAGGTTTTTACAGAGGGAATTTTGGATATCTCTATTTATCACAAATCAGAAAATACATTCAACATCCAAAAATAAATACATTTTCACAATTTTTTAGGAATAAAATGTATAAAACCAGGAAAAGTATATATGAACAAACCCCAAAATATAGATAAGAATAAAACTGTAAAGTTTGGTGTAAAGCTGCTGAAGTGGAGATGTCTGGCTCTATAAGCAGGCCAAACTCACTTTGAGAAAACGGCCTTTAAAGATATATAGCTACTGTAATTGAAATAGATAAAAATAGATAAAGTGCTCTTAAAGATACAGTTAAAAGTGTATTTTGGATGTTTTCTTTCCACTAGTCTGAAAAACACTGTGACTTTGAAAGTGTGACTTTTTTCCTTCAACATCCACAGATAATGCACAGAGTCACCAGAGGTGTATTTATGGTAAAACATTTATTTGAAATCATAATTATGACAACTATCATATTATTCAGAAGTACTTCAATAATCAATGCAACCTATAGACATTTACAGCTTTTTACAAGAAGAAAATCATGCACAGACAGAAGCATAGTGTCGGCCCAGATCCGGCCCACATCCGGCACATGCGGGTCAAACGCGGCCCAGATCCGGCCCACATCCGGCTCAAACGCTGCCCAGATCCGGCCCACATCCGGCTCAAACGCTGCCCAGATCCGGCCCACATCCGGCACATGCGGCTCAAACGCGGCCCAGATCCGGCCCACATCCGGCTCAAACGCTGCCCAGATCCGGCCCACATCCGGCTCAAACGCTGCCCAGATCCGGCCCACATCCGGCACATGCGGCTCAAACGCGGCCCAGATCCGGCCCACATCCGGCTCAAACGCTGCCCAGATCCGGCCCACATCCGGCACATCCGGCTCAAACGCTGCCCAGATCCGGCCCACATCCGCCACAAACGCTGCCCAGATCCGGCCCACATCCGGCACATGCGGCTCAAACGCGGCCCAGATCCGGCCCACATCCGGCTCAAACGCTGCCCAGATCCGGCCCACATCCGGCTCAAACGCTGCCCAGATCCGGCCCACATCCGGCACATGCGGCTCAAACGCGGCCCAGATCCGGCCCACATCCGGCTCAAACGCTGCCCAGATCCGGCCCACATCCGGCACATCCGGCTCAAACGCTGCCCAGATCCGGCCCACATCCGGCACATCCGGCTCAAACGCTGCCCAGATCCGGCCCACATCCGGCACATCCGGCTCAAACGCTGCCCAGATCCGGCCCACATCCGCCACAAACGCTGCCCAGATCCGGCCCACATCCGGCACATGCGGCTCAAACGCGGCCCAGATCCGGCCCACATCCGGCACATGCGGCTCAAACGCTGCCCAGATCCGGCCCACATCCGCCACATGCGGGTCAAACGCGGCCCAGATCCGGCACATGCGGGTCAAACGCGGCCCATATCCGGAACATGCGGGTCAAACGCGGCCCAGATCCGGAACATGCGGGTCAAACGCGGCCCAGATCCAGAACATGCGGGTCAAACGCGGCCCAGATCCGGAACATGCGGGTCAAACGCGGCCCAGATCCGGAACATGCGGGTCAAACGCGGCCCAGATCCGGAACATGCGGGTCAAACGCGGCCCAGATCCGGAACATGTGGGTCAAACGCGGGCCAGATCCGGAACATGTGGGTCAAACGCGGGCCAGATGTGGGCTGACACTATGAGACGACCGGGTTTCATAAAACACAGTCACAATCAATCAAGGCATTAATTAAAGCAATTAGAATACTTCACTAAGACCAGTTCAGGGAAGAAGGATTCAAAGCATCAGTTAGAAAAGCATTGAATTATTCACTGCACTGTTGCAATATTCTATATTCCTGCTTTTGAAAACACGTCATTGATTGTAAACACAAATACACACATGAGCTTCAGATCACAGAACGATGTCACTCATACAGTGATATTTATTTAAGTTCACGTGCAGTTGTTATTACTCTCTGATCTAAAAGACGACAGCAAAGCGTTTCCCTCTTTATTCTCAGATATCGTGTTGTGTTTAAAAGCCTAACGCTCGAACACAGAACAGTGTGTGTGTGTGTGTGTGTGTGAACCCACGAGTGCTTGAACTCAGCGGACACTCAGCAGACAGTTCAATAAACTCAATAATAATAATGTAGATGCTGCAGCTGAAGTGTGTGTGTGTGTGTGTGTGTGTGATTATGAGACGGTGAAGTGTGTGTGTGTTTGTGTGTGTGTGTGTGATTATGAGACGGTGAAGTGTGTGTGTGTTTGTGTGTGTGTGATTATGAGACGGTGAAGTGTGTGTGTGTTTGTGTGTGTGTGTGTGATTATGAGACGCTGCAGGTGGAGTGTGTGTGTGTTTGTGTGTGTGTGTGTGTGTGTGTGATTATGAGACGCTGCAGGTGGAGTGTGTGTGTGTTTGTGTGTGTGTGTGTGTGTGATTATGAGACGCTGCAGGTGGAGTGTGTGTGTGTGTGTGATTATGAGACGCTGCAGGTGGAGTGTGTGTGTGTGTGATTATGAGACGCTGCAGGTGTGTGTGTGTGTGTGTGTGTGTGATTATGAGACGCTGCAGGTGGAGTGTGTGTGTGTTTGTGTGTGTGTGTGTGTGTGTGTGATTATGAGACGCTGCAGGTGGAGTGTGTGTGTGTGTGATTATGAGACGCTGCAGGTGTGTGTGTGTGTGTGTGAGTGTGATTATGAGACGCTGCAGGTGTGTGTGTGTGAGTGTGTGTGTGATTATGAGACGCTGCAGGTGTGTGTGTGTGAGTGTGTGTGTGATTATGAGACGCTGCAGGTGTGTGTGTGTGTGTGTGTGTGTTTATGAGACGCTGCAGGTGGAGGATTTGGGCGGCTGCTCCAGGATCGACTCTCGGCGCAGGTCGTTCGGCACCGTCCCGTTCGGACCCCACAGGTTCAGCTCGCCGAACATGCCCGTCTCGATCATCTCCTCCTGCCACGGGATCGAGATGTTTCCCGACGCAAACTCGTCGAAGAAGCTCTTGTCGTCGTCCTCCAGGCCGACCCCCTTCACCGTGGAGAACGCGCCCACGTCGTCCAGATCTTTGGCGTAAACCGTCTTCGAATCCGGGACGAACGGAGGAGGAAGAATCCCTGTAGCGAATCAGTGAGGAGTTAGTGCATCACATGACTAGATCTCGGCCAGTTGCATAAACATTAGCTGTCACACTATGCACTTATGCACTATGCACATATGCATTATGCACTATGCACTTATACACTATGCACTTATACACTATGAACTTATGCACTATGCACTATGCACTTATACACTATGCACTTATACACTATGAACTTATGCACTATGCACTTATGCACTATGCACTTATACACTTATCCACTATGCACTTATGCACATATGCATTATGCACTTCTGCACTTATGCATTATGCACTTATACACTATGCACTTATGCACTATGTACTTATGCACTATGCACTTATACACTATGCACTTATGCACTTCTGCACTTCTGCACTTCTGCACTATGCACTTATACACTATGCACTTATGCACTATGCACTTATACACTATGCACTTATGCACTATGCACTTATACACTATGCACTTATGCACTATGCACTTATACACTATGAACTTATGCACTATGCACTTATGCACTATGCACTTCTGCACTATGCACTTATGCACTATGCACTTATGCATTATGCACTTATACACTATGCACTTATGCACTATGCACTTATGCACTATGCACTTATGCACTTATGCACTATGCACTTCTGCACTATGCACTTCTGCACTATGCACTATGCACTTATGCACTATGCACTTATGCACTATGCATTATGCACTTATACACTATGCACTTATACACTATGCACTTATGCACTATGCACTTATGCACTATGCACTTACACACTATGCACTATGCACTTATACACTATGAACTTATGCACTATGCACTTATACACTATGCACTTATACACTATGCACTAATGCACTATGCACTTATACACTATGCACTTATGCACTATGCACTTATGCACTATGCACTTATGCACTATGCACTTATGCACTATGCATTATGCACTTATACACCATGCACTTATACACTATGCACTTATGCACTATGCACTTATGCACTATGCACTTATGCACTATGCACTTACACACTATGCACTATGCACTTATACACTATGAACTTATGCACTATGCACTTATACACTATGCACTTATACACTATGCACTAATGCACTATGCACTTATACACTATGCACTAATGCACTATGCACTTATGCACTTATGCACTATACTCAACCATGTAGTGTATGAATTACTGTAAGTTCATATTTTGTTGGAAACCCTGATTTGGGGTCAGTAAGATTTTGTTGTGTTTTTGAAAGAAATACTATTATTCATCAAGGATTAAATTGATCAAAAGTGACATTTATAATGTTACAAAAGATTCTATTAAAAAAACCTGTTCTTTTGAACCTTCTATTCATCATAGCATGTTGAAAAATAAAATCTATGATGGTTTCCACAAAAATATGAACTGTTTTCAACACTGATAATAATCATAAATGTTTCTTGAGCATCAGATCCTCATATTAGAGTGATTTCTGAAGGATCATGTGACACTGAAGACTGGAGTAATGATGCTGAAAATTCAGCTTTGCTCACAGGAATAAATTACACTTTACTGTATATTCACATAGAGAACAGCTGATTTACATTATAATAATATCTTATGCACTGTTTTCACTGTGTTTTTGATCAAATAAACTTGGCTTTGGTGAGCAGGAGAGACTGTCAGAAACATTCTGATTGCAGATCTGCACCTGCGTCGAGTTTCCTCCAGTTGAGTTCGCTGAAGAACGGATGAGCGCGCAGTTCATCACACGAGCCGTTCTTGAAGCCCAGTCTCTTGTCCACTTCTTTAGCCAGTAACCCCTCACAGATGGACTTGGCGTTCTCGCTGAACTTCTCCGGGAAGGTCACGGGGTCGTTCAGGATCCGCTTCTTCACCTCTTTATTCTCCACCTGAGACGCAGACGATCAAACATGGAGAAGAACAGCGGCTGAAGCACTCGTGTGTTCATCAGTGACTAACTCTTACTGACTGTTCTTGGAATTTGTTAAAGATGGAGATATTGAAGAGACTATAGATGTGTGAAGTTATAGTATATGCACAATGCTGAATAGGAGTGTATGGTATAATATATATATATATATAACTTTTATTTATTTTTTTACCGACTGCCAGGGTTATTATGGAGGGGGAGAGATTTGAGTAAGTTATATTTGTACTTAAGTGTATGTTATTATCTATGTTTGTTAAATGTGTTGTAAAATTCAATAAAAATATGTAAAAAATATGTTTTAAAAAAAAGAGTGTTGAAGAGCACCTTCTCTCCGCGAGTCCTGAACGGTCCTTTAGCGGCGATGAACTCGAACAGCGTGACCCCGAGAGTGAAGTAATCCACGGAGTAATCATACTCTTCCCCCTTCAGCAGCTCCGGGGCCATGAACCCTGCACACACACACACACACACACGCACACGCACACGCACGCACGCACGCACGCATACACACACACACACACACACACACACACAGACACGCACGCGCACACAGACACGCACACACACACACACGCACGCACACGCACACGCACGCACGCACGCACGCACGCATACACACACACACACACACACACACACACACACAGACACACACGCGCACGCACGCACACACAGACACGCACACACACACGCACGCACACACGCACGCACGCACACACACACACGCACGCACGTACACACAGACGCACACACACACACGCACACACACACGCACACACACACACACACACGCACACACACACATTGCTTCAAACTTCTTATATTGCTTTAAAGCAGTGTCATGAATTCAGTTTAACAAACACGAGTATGTTAGTCAGCAATTATAACTTATTATAATATTATTAATTATGGTAATTATTAAAATATAAGGATAATATGACAATATAAGGATAATATGTGAAAGTTGTGAGTGTTTATCCAATTGTTGGTGTCGCCTGAAAAGTCAAACTAAACCATAAACAAAACTAAAAGGGAAATAAAAATGTATAAAAACTATATAGACATATTTTTATAAAAAACAAAATCAAAAATGACAAAAGCACACAACAAAATTACTAAAATGAAAATGTAAAATTGGTAAGACTTCAGTTTAAGGTCCAATTCTCACTATTAATTGCGACTTTTGCCCCAATAAACTCCTAATCGCTGCTTATTAATAGTTAGTAAGGTTGTTTAGTGTAGGTATTGCAGGATTCAGGGATGTAGAATATGATCATGCAGAATAAGGCATTCATATGTGCTTCATAAGTACTAATAAACAGCCGATATCCTAGTAATATGCAGCTTCTTGTCTTTATCTTTTGAGAGGTTGGGCTTGTAAGTTGCATGTTGTTTTATGTGTTGTTTGTTTGTTTGCTGCTTTTGTCTGCAGGTGCAGTTGTAAAGTGCTTTATAAATAAAGTAAGTAAGTAGATAATAGGAAGAAGTGAACCCTAAAGTAAAGTGTAACCGTATATCTACTGTAAGCTGAACTGTGTCGCTGCGGCGAGCTGCACTGACCTGGAGTTCCAGCGTAACCCTTGATCTTCTGCTGGCCGTCCGCCAGTTCCACAGCCAATCCCAGATCAGAGATCCTGACGTTCCCTGGACACACAGGAGGATCACATGACTGATCACATGACTGATCACACGCGTCTCCATGTCCACACTATCCCTCCTGAACAGTGTGTGAGTTAATGAGATAATTAAGTGATTAATTGAGTGATGATTGTTTGATTATTGAAGACACCTGATGATAACAAGAACTGAAGTAAAGAGAAACAAAAGAACTACAACTGACTTCCAGACACAGCCTTAGATGAAATCAACTGAAAAGACATGAAATCACTCTTATTACAAAACAGTTTGACCTTATTTCTGTCAGACATCTACAGAAGATGTTTTTGAGAATTAACAGAGATTTATATGTTGATTTTTATTGATAATGTGTGGTTACCATTATGGTGATCAGTGTTTCATTTAGTTGGTCAGTTTGACTTTATTTTTTTTTATTTTTTTGGTTGTTGTCTTTGTAACAGTGCTTTCCAAAACACATAATTTGTTGTAAAGGACTAGGGCTGGGCGATTAATCGCACGATATTGTTATGCGCATCTAATCAGTAAAGCCGGTTCCTTGATTAGTAGTAAATCACCTTCACCTGCTTTCAGATGGAGCGGCATTTACTACAAAGATCCGTAGTTAACTGACAAGCTGAGCCAAATCGCGTTAAAATCGAGGACATATCGCCAACGATATTTAATGCGATATGGCTCAGCTTGTCAGTTAACTACGGATCTTTGTACACAGCAAAAACTCAGTGTTAAATGAACACACCTGGGAGTGTATATGAGTCCACACTCAAGAGTGTTAAAGTTAATGAGATATTTAAGTGATTAATTGAGTGATGATTGAGCATTATTGAAGACACCTAAAGCAGAATCACTGAAGGAGAAAACCGGAATTTCAGTTCACCATTATGAAGATGAGTGTTTGCTTTAGTTGGGCTCTTGACCCTTATATTATTAACTTTATATTTTGTTCAGCTGTTGTATCCGGGTTATACCTGCCAGATAAAAAAAAAAAAAAAAAAAAAAAAAATCTAATGGTGTTGGTTATATTATGACATTCATCATTTGAGCTAATTGTTTGTGATTTATGCTGTTGGTTACATCATAACTGAGATTCTGCATATATATCCAGAATTTGAGATATAATATAAAGGATTTCTTAAAAGTTGTAAAAAATAAATAAATCTTTCTTTTAGGCACACACAGATATCAAGATTCAGTCAATGCATCTCAACAATGGTGACGAGCAGAATATTCAATTAGGAAAAGTAAATTACATTGACAATTCAGATAATAATTTATTCATACCGCATTGCATGATGGGAGCCATTAATGAGTTGTGATTGGTGGCAACAAGGATTATTATTGTCACCACGGTTGAGATTCACAGGCTGATTATTGATGTCTGTGTTTCTAAATAAATGCATTTGAAAGTGATTTGATCAGAACAATTTTTATTAAATGTTTTGGATTATAAGAAAAATACAATTATCATATGCTGTAGATAGAACCACTAAATTGTTGCTATCAAGTTAAACCAGATCATCTGATTGACAGGTCAGTTTACGGTGACAGGATGATTGACAGGTCAGTTAACGGTGACAGGATGATTGACAGGTCAGTTTACTGTGACAGGATGATTGACAGGTCAGTTTACAGTGACAGAATGATTGACAGGTCAGTTTACAGTGACAGGATGATTGACAGGTCAGTTTACAGTGACAGGATGATTGACAGGTCAGTTTACGGTGACAGGATGATTGACAGGTCAGTTTACGGTGACAGCATGATTGACAGGTCAGTTTACGGTGACAGGATGATTGACAGGTCAGTTTACGGTGACAGGATGATTGACAGGTCAGTTTACGGTGGCAGGATGATTGACAGGTCAGTTTACAGTGGCAGGATGATTGACAGGTCAGTTTACGGTGACAGGATGATTGACAGGTCAGTTTCTAGGGCGTAGTGAAGTGTGTGAGTTGAGACGCGGCTCACCTTCGTTATCCAGCAGGACGTTCTCCGGCTTCAGGTCTCGGTAGATGATCCTCTTCTGGTGGAGATGCTCCATTCCCTGGATGATCTGAGCCGAGTAATAACAGGCTCTGGCCTCCGAGAACCCGGGGTTATTCTCATCCACGTTATAGATGTGGTACCTGACACACACACACACGCAAGCACACACACACACACACACACGCAAGCACACACACACACACACACACACACACACAAACACACACACACACACGCAATCACACGCACACACACACACGCACACACAGCAGGAGACTCCAGTCAGATTTAAATCAAATAAGCATGTCAGTGTCGCTGATCATGTGACTGTGTGACTGTGTGACTGTGTGTGTGTGTGTGTGTGTGTGTGTGTGTGAGAGAGTCTGACCTCAGGTCTCCTCCGTTCATGATGGTCATCACCAGACAGAGCTCAGTGTGTGTGTGTGTGTGTGTGTGTGTGACCTCAGGTCTCCTCCGTTCATGATGGTCATCACCAGACAGAGCTCAGTGTGTGTGTGTGTGTGTGTGTGAGTCTGACCTCAGGTCTCCTCCGTTCATGATGGTCATCACCAGACAGAGCTCAGTTTTGGTCTGGAAGGCGTACGCCAGAGACACGATGAACTGACTGTGAACTCGAGCCAGGATCCGTTTCTCCACCATCGCTCCCTGTGAGACCAGAACAACACGATCTTCAGCTCAGCACATCATGCTGTCAGAGTCACACACACACACACACACACACATTCTCACACACTCTCTCTCTCACACTCACTCACTCACACACACACACACACACACACACACACACACACACACACACACACACACACTCTCTCTCTCTCTCTCTCTCTCTCACACACTAACTCACTCACATACACACACACTCTCTCTCTCACACTCACTCACACACTCACACACACTCTCTCTCTCACACTCACTCACTCACACACACACACACACACACACACACTCTCTCTCTCTCTCTCTCTCTCTCTCTCTCTCTCTCTCTCTCTCTCTCTCTCTCACACTAACTCACTCACATACACACACACACTCTCTCTCACACTCACTCACACATTCTCACACACTCTCTCTCTCTCTCTCTCTCTCTCTCTCTCTCTCTCTCACACTAACTCACTCACATACACACACACTCTCTCTCTCACACTCACTCACACATTCTCACACACACTCTCTCTTACACTCACTCACTCACACACACACACACACACACACACACACACTCTCTCTCTCTCTCTCTCTCTCTCTCTCTCTCTCACACTAACTCACTCACACACACACACACACACACACACACACACACTCTCTCTCTCTCTCTCTCTCTCTCTCTCTCTCTCTCTCTCTCTCTCTCTCTCTCTCACACTAACTCACTCACATACACACACACACTCTCTCTCTCTCACACACTCACTCACACACTCACACACACTCTCTCTCTCACACACACACTAACTCACTCACTCACACACACACACACACACACACACAGCAGGAGACATGTTCATTTTGCTTTTTCACTCAAGTTGTTATCAATATGATTTATAACTTTGTCTAATTTACCTCTCAGACACTCAGTATATGAACGCACATTCACGCAGAGCTCAACACGGGCTATAAGCGCTGCACGTGTTCTGCAGAGGTCATCTATGACAACATGTGCATGAACCAGTTCACTAGTTTCTCTTATTTCATGCATCATGACGTATAATGAGGCATTCCCTGTTCTGTTTCACAGCCAGAATGAAACATGTCGATCGAGCGAATGTTTCCAAACAGCAGAATCTGTTTTCGTGCTTATAACTGTGAATGACGTCACTGTTAACATTATCGTCCAAATGAAAAAATACCAAACGTTCTATTAATGTTTCTGGAAGAACGTTTGTTCATAACTTTGAGAGAACGCCATTCCCTCGTGGATCGCATCAGCGTTCCCGCTGTCCAGGACTTACACAACAAATCTGTTCCATATTTAAATGTGTCGGAGTGGCATTTCATAATGAGCTAAAGCTTCCTCAGCTCTACACACACACACACACACATCTGATCAATACTGACGAGGAACATCATGCATCTGCGATCACTGGATGTTCAGTAAAACACTGATAAAAGCACAAACTCGATGAACGCTGAGAGATGTGTGTCAGCTATAAAGCACATTACAGTAAAGCCTTCACCTTCATCATCAATGTCACGCCTGAGCTTCTTAATCACACAATCCATGTCCTGTTATCTAAGCGTTACCATTACAGGTGCATCGATGCGTGCACACACACACACACACACACACACACACACACACACACTAACTACTCATGATTTTAGACACAAGAATGTGTAGTATGTGTTAATGTGCTCCTTGTTTTATTGGAGCAGTTTTGTAAAAGTCGCTGCTGAACTATCGATAAATCATATTGACTCATTTCAGGTCCAATAGTTAATTATTAATTATCATCACGCAAGTTTTATAATGACTAGTTTGAACAGATAAGGGAGTAAACTGTGGCAGTGTCCTGTTATATTCAGTGTTCTAACGGAGAACGTTCTTCCAGTGACGTTAATAGAACGTTCGTTCCACGTTATCTGCTCTTTCATAATGTTCTCAAAGCGTTTGCACAAAAACACTATTCATACATCGATCATGGAATGTTTTAGTTGGATTAACTTTTTTCAAATGTTGCTACTTGTTTCAGAACGTTCAGAGAACATTCAAAAGTAACGTTTCCATGTTTGAAGAATTATGAAATGGAATATTCACATAACCAAGACAAAACTTTTTAAACCATTTTAAAAAACTGGAATAACATTAGATATAACTTTTTCATAACTCAATGGGAATGTTCTTAGAACACATACAGTCAAACCAAGAATTATTCAGACACCAGATGTAATGTGTGATATTGTTTCACTAGTGTGTGCAGGACACTATAGTTCATTTCTGTAAGTGAGGAGAGCAAAATAAAGTAAACTGTGACATATTACACCCAATAATTCTTCATACAGTGACTACCAGTAAAGATCGGGAGCAGAAATGATTCGGACACTTTGAGCTGATCATGTTTTGCTGAAGTGTGTTTTCTGTAATTGCTAATGCTCTTTTTACACACACACTGAACAACATGAAGCATTGCTTGGTCACTGGTTGAGCTAAACTGGTATTATCTAATTGTGTAGTTCAATTTAACAGCTGACAGATATTCAACATAATTCATGTGTGAGAGTCGAACAGAAGGACGGACAAAACCAGTCAAATATCCACTGATCTGAGAACTCTGAGTTCTGCTCATGTTTATCACCATTATAGCGAATAACTGTGATAATGTGAGAAATGTTGAAGTGTGTGAATAATGTTGGTTTGCCTGTATAACTAAGGAAGACCCTCATAACTGTGATTACATGTGCATTTCTGAAATGCATAACTCAGACAGTCTCCTCTGATGACAGATCCCTGTACACTAATGTGGACTCGTGCACGTCTGTAAAGCTGCTTTGACATGATGTGTTGTGAAAAGCGCTATACAAATAAACGTGCGTTGAATCCTAACTCTATGGGAATGCTCTTACAGCATATATCGGCCACGAACTCATTTCGATAATAATTCATAATTCCCCTCAAGCTCTTCTGCCATACCTCATAGCCTTTCCTCTTCTTCAGCCTCTTCTTGTTGAGCTTCTTGCAGGCGTACAGCTTCCCGGAGCCCTTCATCTGACAGGCGGACACCTCTCCGAATCCTCCCTTTCCCAGAACCCGGAAGTCCAGGAACCAGTCCTCTCCGATCGGCTGCATCTCCAGCCACTTCCACTGCAAGAAGCGCTTAAAGTACATGGTCTCCAGGTAGAAGGTGAAGGGAACCTCTTTGAGGAAGTCGAACACGCACGCCGAGATCTCCACGAACAGGTCGTCCACCGCCTCCTGGTGCCGCTCCTTCACCTTCGTGATGCTGTTCTCCGGGAGGAACGGGCAGAAGAGCTTCGCCGACGGCTCCATGTAGCGCTGGAGGATTTTCCCGGCTTTCTGAGCCCGGTCTTTATCCTCGGCCGTGTCGTACGCCTCCACGTCTTTCCAGAGGCGGCTCGGGCCCTTGTACTCGTTGGTGGTCTCCAGGTACTCCTGGAACAGGCGCTTGCCGATCGGCTGCTCCACGCAGATGCTCTGGAACTGCAGGTCCAGGGTTTCCCGCAGGTCTTCGCACACGGTGATGTGCGGGAGCTTCAGTTTGGCGTGGTACTTCTTGTCCCGGTTGGCCGCCGGGTTTGCGGATCCGTCGAAACTCCCGCGCGCCGAGATGTACGCCGAGTTCGCCACCACCGTGGTCAAGCCTCCGATGTCCATGACGAGCAGAGCGAGCACTGAGAACGAGCCGAGGAGAGATGATGGAGAGTCACAGCGAGAGCATCGGAGCTCAGCGCCGGGAGACTGGAGGAGTTCGCTTACAGAGTCATGAGGTTCGGGAGAGGGGTTCGGACGCCCAGTGTCTGATGGAGAAGTGGACGATAAGCCCTGACACACACACACACACACAGATATACCTGACTCAACATCTTTCATAAGGGTTTATCCTCTAACTCCATAATACCTTCCTCAGGTTAAAACCCTTCACTGGCACTGAGAGAACTCGCTCACCGGGGAAATAAACCCCTGAAACAAGGAAATATTGATGAATTATGCCTTTAATAAACAAGGAAAGCTGGATGAAGATGTTCATGTTGTGAGATGGGTGATACGCTGAACTACCAGCCTTGGTTAGACCAGCTTAATTAAAGTCCACAAGGGGTGTAAATACAGCGTTTAATGTTGTTTATCTGGTGGTTTTAATGTGCTTTAAGACACATTTAAGCATTGCTGAGTATTTCCTCCTTAAAACTGCAGTGAACCAAAGACAGTCTCAAAAACACGGTTTGAAATCGCTGGTGTTTCTGACGTCACAAACGACCTTGTAACCAATCAGATCAACGTGTGATCGTCAACCAGTGGATCTCTGAGCTGAGGGAGTGAGTGGAGGCGGGGCTCATTTGCATATTCATAGAACCTCGCATACTAAATGAGGCACGGGTGTCGAGTTACAGTCAAGATATTTTAAGGCAGATTTCATATCATCTCAAGTTGGTCACACAAATTCTCTGCTCGGTTTGAAGCGACTTCTCTGTGTTAAAGTCATTAATATTCAACGTTTCCACATTAAACGTGGGCATGATTTTGATTTTATCCACGATGAACTGACTGGATGTTTCTATATGAAGAGCAGCAACAAATTATTATATTCAAAGATTATGAAGAAAAATATTTCTCTTACTTTCATTTAAGGATAAAATGGAAACTATATTTTCATTTTTACCATATCAAGTGTGATGCATGAAATATTATGACCATCTCAAACTCTACTTCTTCCTGACATTACTAAACACGATTACAAATAAGAGATTGAATTTAGTGTACCTGCACTTATTATTGAACTATATGAACATATAATTTGCTATTTCTCTTTTCTCAATCATTTAAATTAAACCGTGAGGGGTCTCGCTGGTTTGATGCCTTGCCAATGAAGTAATGATGTGTAAAGGAAAGGATCTTTTTAATTAACTAACATTTTCCCATCTGAAATTATGGACACTTGTTTCCGCCACAGAATAAAACATTTCAAAAGATAAATGCGACTTTTTATCTCACAATTGCGAGTTTACATGCGAGATATTAAGTCAGAATTGTGAGATATATAGTCAGAATTGTGTGATATAAAGTCATTATTGTGATATAAAGTCAAAATTGTGAGATATAAAGTCAGAATTGTGAGATATAAAGTCAGAATTGTGTGATATTTAGTCAGAATTGTGTGATATAAAGTCAGAATTGCGAGATATAGTCAGAATTGCGAGATATAAAGTCAGAATTCCGAGATAGTCAGAATTGCAAGATATAAAGTCACAATTGCGAAATATATAGTCAGAATTGCGAGATATAAAGTCAGAATTCCGAGATAGTCAGAATTACAAGATATAAAGTCACAATTGCGAAATATATAGTCAGAACTGCAAGATATAAAGTCAGAATTGCGAGATATAAAGTCAGACCTGCGATATAAAGTCAGAATTACGAGATATGTAGTCAGAATTGCGAAATATAAAGTCAGAACTGCGAGATATAGTCAGAATTGCGAGATATAGTCAGAATTGCGAGATATAGTCAGAATTGCGAGATATAAAGTCAGAATTGCGAAATATAGTCAGAATTGCGAGATATAAAGTCAGAATTGCATGATAAAGTCAGAATTGCGAGATATAGTCAGAATAGCGAGATATAGTCAGAATTGCGAGATATATAGTCAGAATTGCGAGATATATACGGTAGTCAGAATTGCGGGATATATAGTCAGAATTGCGAGATATAGTCAGATTTGCGAGATATAAAGTCAGAATTGCGAGATATAAAGTCAGAATTTCAAGGTATATAGTCAGAATTGCGAGATATATAGTCAGAATTGCGAGATATATAGTCAGAATTTCGAGATATAAAGTCAGAATTTCGAGGTATATAGTCAGATTTGCCAGATATAGTCAGATTTGCGAGATATAGTCAGAATTGCGAGATATAAAGTCAGAATTGCGAGATATATAGTCAGAATTGCGAGATATATAGTCAGAATTGCGAGATATAAAGTCAGAATTGCGAGATATAAAGTCAGAATTGCGAGATATATAGTCAGAATTGCGAGATATATAGTCAGAATTGCGAGATATATAGTCAGAATTGCGAGATATAAAGTCAGAACTGCGAGATATAGTCAGAATTGTGAGATATAAAGTCAGAATTGTGAGATATAAAGTCAGAATTGTGTGATATTTAGTCAGAATTGTGTGATATAAAGTCAGAATTGCGAGATATAGTCAGAATTGCAAGATATAAAGTCACAATTGCGAAATATATAGTCAGAACTGCAAGATATAAAGTCAGAATTGCGAGATATAAAGTCAGACCTGCGATATAAAGTCAGAATTACGAGATATGTAGTCAGAATTGCGAAATATAAAGTCAGAACTGCGAGATATAGTCAGAATTGCGAGATATAGTCAGAATTGCGAGATATAGTCAGAATTGCGAGATATAAAGTCAGAATTGCGAGATATAGTCAGAATTGCGAGATATAAAGTCAGAATTGCATGATAAAGTCAGAATTGCGAGATATAGTCAGAATAGCAAGATATAGTCAGAATTGCGAGATATATAGTCAGAATTGCGAGATATATACGGTAGTCAGAATTGCGGGATATATAGTCAGAATTGCGAGATATAGTCAGATTTGCGAGATATAGTCAGAATTGCGAGATATAAAGTCAGAATTTCGAGGTATATAGTCAGAATTGCGAGATATATAGTCAGAATTGCGAGATATATAGTCAGAATTTCGAGATATAAAGTCAGAATTTCGAGGTATATAGTCAGATTTGCCAGATATAGTCAGATTTGCGAGATATAGTCAGAATTGCGAGATATAAAGTCAGAATTGCGAGATATATAGTCAGAATTGCGAGATATATAGTCAGAATTGCGAGATATAAAGTCAGAATTGCGAGATATAAAGTCAGAATTGCGAGATATATAGTCAGAATTGCGAGATATATAGTCAGAATTGCGAGATATATAGTCAGAATTGCGAGATATAAAGTCAGAATTGCGAGATATAAAGTCAGAATTTCGAGGTATATAGTCAGAATTGCGAGATATAAAGTCAGAACTGCGAGATATAGTCAGAATTGCGAGATATAGTCAGAATTGCGAGATATAGTCAGATTTGCGAGATATAAAGTCAGAATTACGAGATATAAAGTCAGAATTTCGAGGTATATAGTCAGAATTGCGAGATATATAGTCAGAATTGCGAGATATAAAGTCAGAATTTCGAGATATATAGTCAGAATTTCGAGATATAGTCAGATTTGCGAGATATAGTCAGAATTGCGAGATATAGTCAGAATTGCGAGGTATAGTCAGAATTGCGAGATATATAGTCAGAATTGCGAGATATAAAGTCAGAATTTCGAGGTATATAGTCAGAATTGCGAGATATAGTCAGAATTGCGAGATATAGTCAGAATTGCGAGATATATAGTCAGAATTGCGAGATATTGCGAGATAGTCAGAATTGCGAGATATAGTCAGATTTGCGAGATATAAAGTCAGAATTGCGAGATATAAAGTCAGAATTTCGAGGTATATAGTCAGAATTGCGAGATATATAGTCAGAATTGCGAGATATATAGTCAGAATTGCAAGATATAAAGTCAGAATTTCGAGATATATAGTCAGAATTTCGAGATAGTCAGATTTGCAAGATATAAAGTCAGAATTGCGAGATATAGTCAGAATTGCGTGATATAAAGTCAGAATTGCGAGATATAAAGTCAGAATTGCGAGATATAGTCAGAATTGCGAGATATAAAGTCAGAATTGCGAGATATAGTCAGAATTGCGAGATATAAAGTCAGAATTCCGAGATATAAAGTCAGAATTGCGAGATATAAAGTCAGAATTGCGAGATATAGTCAGAATTGCGAGATATAAAGTCAGAATTGCGAGATATAAAGTCAGAATTGCGAGATATAAAGTCAGAATTGCGTGATATAAAGTCAGAATTGCGAGATATAAAGTCAGAATTGAGAGAAAGTCAGAATTGCGAGATATAAAGTCAGAATTGCGTGATATAAAGTCAGAATTGCGAGATATAAAGTCAGAATTGAGAGAAAGTCAGAATTGCGAGATATATAGTCAGAATTGCGATATAAAATCAGAATTGCGAGATATAAAATCAGAATTGAGAGAAAGTCAGAATTGCGAGATATATAGTCAGAATTGCGATATAAAGTCAGAATTGCGAGATATATAGTCAGAATTGAGAGAAAGTCAGAATTGCGAGATATATAGTCAGAATTGCGATATAAAGTCAGAATTGCGTGATATAGTCAGAATTGCGAGATATAAAGTCAGAATAGTGAGATAAAAAGTCGCAATTACCTTTTAAATTTTTTATTCTGATGCGGAAACAAGCTTCCATAGATTACATTATTTCACAGAGAGCACAAAGAACCACACAAGCATATAAATCATACGTTCGGTTTAATATCTATACATGAATAAGAAATCTATATTTTCTTTAGTATTTGTTACATTGTACAAAAAGGGCTGGACGTTTGAGTTGTGATCTCATGTTCTCAAGGTCATCAAAGCTCACGCCAAACGCCCCGATATCAAAAATAGCTGCCTATGACATCACACCACAACTCCCCTCAGCCACCAGTGGGAGAGCCTCTGCAACTCTGAGTTCTGCAGGAAAGACGATCAGAGGAGCTCATCTGCTCATAAGCTGATCTCACACTGAGCTGCAGAATTATGGGAAGCATTTGAGGAATCCTCACAGCAGGATCACAATATTGAGTTTCAAACAAGAACTGGGCAAACCAAAGGGAATCTGCATAATATCACCGGTTCTGGAGCTGAAGCAAATCCATCCAATCAGAACCGCTAATCATCATCATCATCATCATCTTCATCAAAGTCTTCTTCCTCGTCATCATCTTCTTCATCCTCCATGTGTGATGATGGCGTCTCGTTTCGGGACCCGTTTGAG